TTTAATGAGTCAAGGATATTTTCCAGCTTCATTCAGCTGAACGAAAGTTTAAGTAATTCTAGAAATAAATAAACCCTAGGATAAATATGTAAACAAAACAATCTAATGGTAACAAGGAATTACTGTATTATAACGAGGGTTTGACTATTCTAATTTCGGCTTTTAAGGCTGAAGAACTAGATTGTCAGTTTTAGAAATTTAAATATAAAAATCAAATTTTAAAATTTGAGTTTATCTACGACTTATGATAATTTGGTAATATATATTAGGCCTGTACAACACAATGCTGGCATTTCACTCTAAATAAAATGTAGTTTTTACCTTAAATATATAAATAAGGGTAACAAGTATTAACCACTTTACTGATCTTATACTTTAACAATTTAAGTAGTTTAAAGATCAGAGATTGGCCTAAACCATACAATAAAACTGGTTACTTAAAAAAAAAAACATATGCAACACTCAAGCACTTAAGCATACTCAAGCATTTTGGTAAAATATTGAGGATATTGGAAAGAAAACGTTGAAGTAATTTATATTAAGTTTAAAATAATCGGCAGGACAGAAAAAATGTTTAAACTGAACTACTTGAATGCAAGAAATACCTCAAGGTTACACAGTACTGTACAAATTTAGAGGTAAGATTTACATTGAAAAATTAATTTTACAAAGGAATATTGTCAAAGGGTATATCCTGGTCCAAGGATTTTATCTAAGTGATAAAGACGTAACCCCTAGTTCTAGCCTGAAATAATGTGAAAATCAATTCCGGGCTCATGCCTAGTGTCTTAGGACAAAAAAATTAGAAAAAAGGGTTTATCCAAATGTATTTTCTAATATTTTTGAAAATATTTCTAGAGTTAAAATATTGTTATCTTCAAATAAAGACAAAGATCCTATTGAATTTGATATATTGGGCGGGGCTTAATTTAAATATAAAGACAAATAACAATTTTCTTTAATTATTTATAACTTTGAGGAAAAAAAAACCACAACAAACCGTATAGGTATTTTTAAGACCTAAAAGCATTCAAAAATGTTATTAGGTTTTAAGTTCAAAGCCATCACTACACCAAGGAAAAATCAAACTAAGAATTAAAATTAAAAAAGATTAAAGGTACGGTAGACAAAAAAAGTAGTGTAAATAAATTGTACCGTAATATATTTATTTGGTTTGTAACTAACTTGTCAAGACACTTTGAAAGCAAACCAAATTAAATTAACATAAAGGGTGATTTTTTTATGGGTGTGGTTTTTAAAACTAAATAAAAAATTTAAAAACAACTTGCATTGACATAAAAATGCATTTATTTGAAGTACAGTGTCATGACATTAACGTTTAAAAATTATTTCTGGCATATGGGCTCCATTCCGTTTGCGTAGAAAGCCCAATCGAGAAGTCCAATTTTCGAATGCTCTTTCCAGCAGCTGTGGTTGAATTCCGCCAATTACTCGACGAATGTTAGCTTCCAAGTCACTTAAAGTTTCAACACTATCGGGCAATGTTACGGGACTTTTTCGTTCCTCAGCTAAACGAACTTGAAGTGGATTTAGAAAATGTCTGGTTCCAGCAAGACGGCGCGACCTGCCACACGGCAAACGACACAATTGGCCTCTTGGCAGAAACATTTGGTGAACGTATCATCTCATTTAGAGGTAGTGTCAACTGGCCCCCACGGTCGTGTGATATCACGCCAACAGACTTCTTTCTGTGGGGATGTGTTAAGTCTCAAGTATACGCTGACAAGCCACAAACTTTAAGTGACTTGGAAGCTAACATTCGTCGAGTTATTGACGGAATTCAACCACAGCTGCTGGAAAGAGTATTCGAAAATTGGACTTCTCGATTGGGCTTTCTACGCGAACGGAATGGAGCCCATATGCCAGAAATCATTTTAAAACGTTAATGTCATGACACTGTAGTTCAAATAAATGCATTTTTATGTCAACGCAGGTTGTTTTTCATTTTTTTATTTAGTTTTAAAAACCGCACCAATAAAAAAAATCACCCTATAGTAAACCAAATTGATTGTTTACATGTTTAGTAATAAGTAACCAGTTCTAAAGTGACATGTTCTCTCTTCAACAGCCGCTTGTCCTATAAAATATATAAAACAGTCTAGAAGAAAACAAGTGCTTCGTAGCAATTCTTAAGATTAAGTAGAAAACATTTCAAACAACAACAACAAACTTAACAGAGTCACGAAACAGTGAAACGAGAAACAAGAAACAAAGTTCCACTTTAGGGATTAGTATTGTTTTTCCGTTTTTAGTAGTCGAGATTTTTTTAAAACTGATTTTTCACATTTTGTTAATGCAATTTTAAATTTTATTTTTTGTTAAGAGTACTTTCACTGTTAATGATTAAGTGAATTTTCCATATCCAATAAGGTTGTCTTTAAGATTTTTACATGATGAAAATCAGGTACAATATTAAATTAACATTTTGAATATTCAAATAATAGAAAAAAGTTAATACCTAAATCGATTAAAATGATTTAATATAATCTGTGCAACAGTGAAAAAATTAAATAGATAGATATGAAATATAAAAGCAACTCAAAAGACAACACTAATAAAAATCACACAGAACCAAAAATAAAAATAAAACTGTGAAATCAGTTTTGCCTTTTTTAAATTGATATACAATTATTAAATTTTATTTTAAATATTATTAGTAAAGTATGCATTAAACATTTAATTTTTAAGATTACAATATTCATCCTGTGACAAAATCTTATTTTAGACTTAACTTTCCAAAAATAGTATGAAGCAATTTCTTATGTCGCCAACAATCAATAAAAGGAAACATTTGTCGAATACAGTATTACATCAAAAAGAGAGAATCTTTCGACCAACTAATAACGGAATAAACAATAATTCAACAACCGTTAACATATAGAGACCAGCTCTATACCTAGTTATAACCCTGTGAAGGCTACAGAAGAATTACATACGAATACACTTTCTAAAATACCTCTATACATCGAGTTAAAAACACGTAACCTACTCCATGTGATGACTGATTATGCTTCAACATTGCTTTAAAAAAGCTTGATTTAAATGTTTGTGAAAAAACCCGTTTATGTGTGGATCAAAGCAGGAAAGTGGCTTAGTTGAATATTATAACTACGGGTCACCCAATATTTTGTAACAATAATTGATGATTTATTGGTGACAGTATTTATAAAAAAAAAACTTCTTTACCACACTATGATGTTTTTAGCCGTTTTACAAACGTTAATTGAAGGCTGAAAGCTACAAGTTGCTGTCATCGTCATTTGGGGACTAAGCAGGTTTTTGCGACTCTAGGGCCGAAAATTAGCTGTTAATAAATATACAAGCGGTATCCGTATTATGCATTGCAAACAGACTTGTTTTATTGTCACCACTGCATAGCAACTATTTATTATTATTTTTGCTTATTCCTTTTAATAATTTTTCACATAACCTTAAAGTTTTAGTTGAGTACATTTATTGTATTATATTTTCTCAATTTTGTATAGTGTGGTGAAAAATATCGTTCGTACCACGGGCCGAAGGGTTTTGTAGCTCTCGGTCGTTTTAAGTTCTTGACTTTGTTTCGGCCCTAGGTACGAATTATACTATACTCGGGGTCTCAATGCATAGTCAATAAAATAGAGAAATGGAAAAATTCAACTGTTCATGGCTTTCAACTTCCAGGAGAAATCAAGTGAAATAAAATTGAATAAACTTAAATTGATCTTAAATGTTCAAGCGTAAGCAGTCATTTGATAAATATGCCTCAAAGTCAGTAAGAGCTAACAATAACAAAAACTACATTACTATACAAAATACAGTATTAGTATACCTAACTGAAGGTGGGATGGTAAATAACAGTTTGACAAAAATGTGTAGGCTTTGTGATTATTATTATTATGAATATTTATTCATTCTTATCTTTGATTCTGCTCTTCTTGCCCAGTACAGTCTTTGTTTATGCTATTAATATTAGTTTTTTAGTTGTTCCCATTTAGCTTAAAAAAGTGAATTTTTTCCCTGTTTAATTTTGAATGTTAAAAATGTGAGAAATAATCAAAGGAAATCCAAAGATTATTATAAGAAACATCACTGGGTAGTCAGAATAAGTACACTAATAATTTCCAATTTTGAATTCAATGTACATTTTACTTAAGTTTATTCATATATTTATTGAAAAAATCACTATGATTTTTACTTTAAAGTTAGGAGCCACCATCCTAAAAAAAAATATAATTTTACAGAAAGTAAAAATATAACTCTACACTATAGTTTATGATAAATCAGGATTATTTTATACATTTTTGAAATTAGGTTTACAGAAGAAAACTATTTCAGTTTGATCTTAAAGTACAGGAAATAGTTACTTAACACCTTATGTACATCTGAGTAACAAGAAGTACCATAATTAGGCCAGTATAAATTATCTGACTTTGAGGCATACTCCACATTTACTTCAAATTACATTACAACATTTGACTTAATCTAATACTATACAAATATTAGTTCCGAACTTTGTGCAATGCTGTCCTTAACTACAAAACTTAACAAGTTGTAATCAACAATGCGGTGCCAGTTTATAAAACAACTGATCGGTCGCAAGGGCATTGAAGAATTTCTTAACAACCCTCAATTTCGTTTTGAATACTTTCGATGCCATTTTTTCAAGACACACACACGGTTACCTTCTCAAAAGACAGCTATACTTTAAATCCTATTTAAAAATCGAATACCATACTTACTTTCTATTCCGTCCAAGCACTAAGCAATCTGAAGTAGAAATCATCCCTGTAAAAACCTTGTTAACGGGAGAGACGTGACGATAATTGTCGACAGAGCACCACTCTGCATGCACTGAGTTCCTACGTCGCTACGAGTCCAACGTATAAAATAGTGGAAAATATGAAAACCTATAAAGAGATGCGTGTTATAAAACAAACAAAATTACAGTGTTTGAAAGGTACGCACCTGGTCGAGACACGACTCACTTTTACCGTGCACTAAGAAAGTTCGTCAACCGGATCGTAAGGTCCACTGGACGACGGTTGCGATTCCTGACTGTGTTTATCGTCCCCGATACCCGAGTCGAGCCGGGTGTCGCACAGTCTTATCCTGACTCGTTGGCCAGGCAAAACTGACCGTGACTCGACTGACTTTCCATCTGGGGTGTCTTGTCGCCCAACTTGCGGCAAACGAGTTTCCCCCACCACCATGATTTGAATGTCCATCTCGCTCTTTGAGTTGTAACTGACATCGTCTTTGGTCTCAGGTGGTTCGGAAGAGTCTGGTGAAGGAGAGGGGGATGGTTCCGGGTGGGGGTAAGGGGGAGGCACCAACAGCACTGCGGGGGCGACACACTCGGGAGATATGTCTTCTGATGGTGGTTCTGCCTCCTGTGGTGATGCCTCTAGCTCAGTCAAGCTCATTAGTCGTCTGCAGCTTCCACCGGGTGCGGTGAGCAATCTGGGGACGGACAGCAGGGAGGGCGACGGAGAAGGAGTTGTGAGCTCCACTACAGAGCGACGCCTCGTGCTGGAGTCACTTGATACTCGGCGTACCGTTGGTTTTCTCAGGTCATCCGAGAATAACTAGAAACAAAACAAATTTCAGGATTGATTCCACTTAAAATAGATTCTTAGATTGAACTGCCACATGGACAATTCAAAAGAGCTTTTCTAATGGCTGCCGTATCAGTGTCACTTTTGGTTATAGCTTAGAGCAATAGTTCAGTACATCCCATTATTTGAGGGATAACAGTAAGAAAAAATAATCTAAGCACATCCCAGATCAGTTAGTTGTAGAATTACAGAGTTACATAGTCATAATACTGATGGATAAATTCTTCAAGAAAGGATTGGCAAGCAATTTCGGGCCAACAAAAGGGGGCATCAGCATACTAGTAGAATTATTATTAGTTGGCCATGGAACGATAAGCATCTTAAAATTGTAGGGCTCATCCAAACAGACCAATGCAGATTTTTAAAAACAGAATAGAATTCTCCCAAACATTTGTGGATTATCCAGATCTATAACGAAAATTTTTTATATTCCTAGGAAAGAAGAAACATAATGTTCTACAGCTGTTTTTTTTTTTTAACAAGAGCCAATGGCTGATGGGATTACATGAGGGGTGTTACAAAAGGTCAAAGTAGCAAGGGTATGCCCCAAAGGCCCTCCCATAAAAAGAGACACAGAAGAGATGACGAGAAAAATGATGGGAATGTGCTATCCAAATATGGTTGTGAACACCTAAGATTCAGGATTGCCAAACTAACCAAGTTTGGTATATGAACTTAAAATAACAATACAAATTCCACTGACCCTGTTCCCAGAGTCTATGTTGTCCTTGTCCTGAGATGTAGTGTACACGGTGGTATATCCCATGGCTGGGTAGGCAGGCGGGATCAGTGCAGGGCCTGTTAGGGTTTGTCTTCTTCTGTTGTTTTTCAGGAATAATTCTTCTTTATTTTTTGTCCAAGAGCTCCTACGCTTTGTACCTGCATGAAGAATATTTCAGTAGTTTAATCAGTCATTTTCATTATTTACTGAGCGAAACATAAAGTTATAGTATGTTATTAAGTAAAGTAAATCTGGATGAAGGGAATATTCCTTTGACACCCTAAGAGGTGGAAAGATCAAGCAACCAAAAATAATATGAAATAAAGTTGATCAAGAAGACACACAGGATCAGAAGAAATAAAGGCAGTTAGTTGGTGAGACCTTCTTAGGTGCAAATAGCCATGAGAGTATGTAAACAAATAGGGGGACTACTTGATGTTAGTAGGGCTTAAAAGTAGTTATAGTGCTTGTCTTCAATTCTGAAGTTTTGTAGGTTAGATCCCAGGATGGGTCGGTCCTCAAAGAAGTAAGGTACAGAGGGAACCTTCAATGGTTCACTTAAGTGGTGTCTAGAATTAGTGCTGGTGTCTAAAGCAAAGTCCAACAATGCCCCCCTCGCCCTCATGTACTACAACGATCACGGTGATGGAAGACCCTGTGTCTTTTTAAATAGGAATATCCGCACAGTGCTCACTGCTCAGGTTCTTCCTTGCTTGCCACAAGTATAATTCCAGCACAACAAACTAGACCTCAAAATTTACGGTTGTTCCAAAAGGGTGTTTTCTCTGTGCCTTACTTCTCTGTGATCATTCCTTGAACCAAGATGCCATTGGTAATGGGGCTATTAAATTATTGATACTATATCTAACAAAAGGTTAACGTTAGATATAGATTTAGATACTAACAAGACCAAAAATTGGAGCATTTCCTCGACAAAAAAGCATAACATGCTAACGATGTTTAAACACACAAAAATATAAACTTTTAGACTAACCTCTAGATGGGCTCTCCTCGCAGTAGCTGGAACTGAAGGTGAAGTTCGCAGGAAGGCTCAGCACTTTGGCGAGAGGTCGGTGGATCGCGTCCTGTTCGAGGGCTAACTGCATGCAAAGTTCTTCTTCTTCCTCCTCCATCTGTTCTTGCGCCAGCTCTCGCTCAAGTTCTACCTCCATGTCCAACTCATCCTCCATCTGCAGATAAATGGATTAATGTAAATCTTACAAAAGAGACTTGTGTTCCTAAAAGTAATATAGGGCCTAATTAAAACGTTAATATACTGAAATTAACTTAAACATTTTGTAAATCACCCTGAGCGAGCTATGAAATTATTTTGACAGTTCAAACAATTAGCGTTCACAATCATAATAATTGAAGCTGATTGAGTAATATTTCTTTAAAAAGTATACAACATTTCAGCTTCTGTTAAATAAATGTGAATAATTAGTGGAATGAATTGAATTAAACACAAGAAAATCATTCCCTTCAATTATTGAGCTCCAGAATCTGAACAAAGACACCTTAAAACTCATACCTGTTTGTGAGATTCTTCCAAATGCTTCATGAGAACAGCGACCACAACGTTGACCAGTACAAACTGTGCCATGAGTACGAAGATGACAAAGAAGATGGGAGCGATCCCTGCGTGTACACAGCAGTTACGGACACAGTCCGCTTGGTCATCACAGTCGTCACGCAATGTATCCTGCGCAGAAAATAGTTATGTTGAAAGCATTAAGATTAGAGCCCTTATCTGTTTGTGTAGCACAACATGAGCGGAAAAAATAATTTTGTTTCTTTTAAAAGATGTTATCATCATTACTTGGACATGCCACTATTGTGTTTCAGGTATGAAGTAAGAAAAATATTGAACATGGCCAAATATAGTCAAAATTGGGGTGGACAAAATTAATTATTATATAGTCTTTTCTCAAAACTGTAGAGATTTTACTCAGTTTCAGAAGTAGATTTCACCCAAATTACATTGGTTACTTATTGGGTGGGAAAGTGATGCTGTAAAAGTAAAAAAAGTAAAGTATTTATTTATTTACTTTCATGATGGCATTCTAGTTTACTCTGTAGTATTGACTGGAAGGGAAGTTCCAAAAGCTGTCCCAAAGTTAACATTTAAGTTACAGTTTCATGTAGTCACTGTTACCATTATGATGCCATCGCAATTATTCCCAGTAGCTACTCGGAACAGTGTCAGGAAGGCTTTTCCAAAGCTGATTTAGTGAGATACCAAATTAAATAGCAGAATTAAAGTGTAGTCACAGTAACTAGCAGTCACTGTTACCTTGATGATGCTGTTCCAGTTATCCCCAGTAGCTACTCAGAAAAGTGTCAGGAAGGCCATTCCAAAGTTGCTAAAGTGAAATACCAAATAAAATAAAATAACATACTTACCATGTAGTCACAATTACTAGCAATAACTGTTACCTTCATGATGCCGTTCCAGTTGTCCCCAGTTGCTACTCGGAACAGTGTCAGGAAGGCCATTCCAAAATTACTGAAGTGTGCGTGTTCTCCAAGACCTTGGCAAGGCTGTTCTTCACTGCACTCTAAACAAAAAAAAGTTTCTATTTAATAACAAGTTCATGATAAAAATTTTATTTTATACACACTAATTATATTAGAGAATGAGAATAGCTATTTATGTATCAAGAGCGCAAAGTATGTCACTGCTGCTCGAGAATTGTAGATGACTGCACAAAGCTTTAACTGAGTGTGGCCATATATTACGAGAGCGACAATGACTGTTTGTGCTCGTAATACACACAAGATTTTGTCTACCACCATAATTAGTAGAATTATATCTCACAGATTAAATTTTTTAGTAGTATATAAAATGTCATTAGGGTTAGGCCTATGTTTGATTTTTTAAAGTTTTAAAGTGTGTTTCTAAAGTTATGTTTTTAATCTGTACCATTAATAAGTATTGGTAAGTTAAGTGATGTATGGATTTCATAACCCAAAATTATTATTTTAAACTGTCAATTATAAATTATTCAATTTTAATTTATAATTCACAGTTTAAAATAGTATTTAATATTCGTTATTTTGAACTATTAATTATAAACTCAATATTTTACATTAGTTGAAAAATGAATAACTTTACTCTTCACTACATGGTTGGTGATGGAAACTGTTTATTTAGAAGTGTCTCATTTTTATGCCATAAATCTCAATCCAGATACAGTGATATACGATGTAACGGTTAAAATATTACGAGATCAGAAAACGAGAGTTTAGGCGATTTCAAATGGCCCGCGCAGAGTCATTAGTTCACAGAGCGGCCACGCACTGCGCTAGCGTCGCGACCCCTATAAAAGCGGCGCAGGACAAGGCTCAGTCGGACTTGATTGCTGGGCGAATAGCTAGCAACATCTCCCTGGTAGGGCGAGGGCGGAATAGCCCGGTAATAACCAGTGGTGGAATAACCCTGGAAGCGTCGAATACTAGGGTTAGGCTGAGGGCGGAATAGCTCTCGGGCCCGCGGATATAACGAGACGATAGGTCGAGGGCGGAATAGCCCGGTAAATAAGCCAGTGGTGAAATAACCCTGGTAGCGTCAAATACTAGGTGTTAGGCCGAGGGCGGAATAGCTCTCGGATCCGCGCATATACATCGCGAAACCGTAGGTCGAGGGCGGAATAGCCCGGTAATTAGCCAGTGGTGAAATAACTCTGGTGTCGTCGAATAGTAGGTGTTAGGCCAGGGCAAAATAGCTCGTGGACCCGCGACAATCGAATTGGTTAATTAATTGTAAGTAGGGATGGACGAGATTGGATTTTGAGTTCGAGACGAGACGAGACGAGATTTTTTATTTCTCATAAAATTTCGAGACGAGATCGAGACGGGATTTCCCTTCTCATACACAACGGGAAATGCACGTTCGGAATTTTTACCTGATTTTGTAACATTGTTAGATGACTGTTTAAATAGAAAAATAATGATAATAGGCAAGAATATTTACAATCTTTTATTAAAAAACATCAGCATAACATTTTTTTATTAATCACGCCTAAATTATTAAAAATGCCTACAATGAGGAAATCAATGAGGTGATCTAAATGTTGATATCCTCAAAACCCATGACCCCGAAACTGTTGAATTGATTAATCTCCTTAGATCATTTGATATTTATTGTGTTCATGAAACCCCAACCAGATTTAAAGCTTGCCTTGATGTTGTAGCCTCAAACATTACATCTGACCATGTTGAGGTTAGGTTACTTAACCAAGATATATTGTCGGACCATGCGGGTGTATGGACCACATTTACCCTGGATTCCTTTACTTTTGACGAAAGTAGAGATAGGCCCAGTCTAAAAAAAAGAGAAGTAGAAAAAAGCGCATCTTATCTCATGAGAAAATTAATGACTATAAGCAAATGCTATTATCTGCAAACTGGATGGGTATCTACACTAATGATGTAAATATATCTGTTAATGTGTTTTTAAATATACTGTCTATGTACCTGAATTTAAGTTGTCCAAAAATGTCTGTAAATAGTAGTTTTAAGGGAAAAAAGGGTTCACTGGTAAAATGGTTTACGCCTGATCTAGAAAATATGCGTAAATTACTCCTTGCACTGTACGACAAATGGAAAAGCACATGTGACCCAGATGACAAATTAATGTTTAGCAAATTTAAGGCACAATATAGGCAAGAAATTATAAGTGCAAAAATAGAAGCAAATGGTAGGTTTATAAGTAAATCGACAAATCAATGTAAAGCTGCTTGGCTGGTTGCTAAAAAGGAAGGTAACTTGGTATCAACAAAGAAACAGATTATACCAATTTCACCTGAACAAATGAATAACTTTTTTGTTAATGCTTCCAATGTTCAAGGTAATGACCAATCTGTAACTAATACTGATTATAAAGAGTTTTTAAATAATAACATAAATCTAGATTGTAGTATGCCTAGTATTAACTTTAAGGTCAATTTGGTTGATGTAAATACTGTTATGTGTGTTGTAAATAAAATGAGTAACTCTAAATCTGAAGATGTTTACGGATGTCAAACTTTTTAATTAAGAATATAATTCATGTAATTGTAATACCACTAACTTTTATTGTTAACTTAGTTCTTAGCACAGGCATATTCCCTGAATGCTTAAAAGTGACAAAAGTTACACCCATCTTCAAAAAAGGTGATGTAAACAAACCTGAAAACTACAGGCCAATTGCAATCGTTCCTATTATAAGCAAGGTTATAGAACACTGTATTGTAACCAGCTCAATGATTATTTTGTAAGTAATAGTTTGTTTTATCCTTTTCAGTTTGGCTTTAGGCCTAAACACTCGACAATAGATGCTGTTGAAAAAGTAGTTGAATAATGGCTTTGAACAAAAACTCACTGTAGGGTCATTGCTTATTGATTTAAGTAAAGCTTTTGACTCTGTATCACACAAAATCTTATGTGACAAGCTAAAGTCTTATGGAGTAGCTGATAAGGAATTGAGGTTAATTCAAACATATCTCCAAAGCAGAAAACAGATGGTTAGCTTTAATAATATGAATTCCGAATACCTAGATGTTACAGTAGGGGTACCACAAGGCTCTGTCCTTGGTCCTTTTTTGTTTTTAGTTTTTGTTAACGATTTTAGCTCTAATGTCTCTACTTTTTCTGTGTTGTATGCTGATGACACCACCCTGGTACAATCTGATATAGATTTAGTGGGTGTTCAGAACAAACTTGACATAGCCTTGATGGAGTCAAAATCATGGTTCTCTGCAAATATGTTGGCTGTGAATGAAGGTAAAACAGAGCGCTTAATTTTTACACTAAGGAACCATTGTGATTTAGATTTAGATAATGACTTGTTCAAGCCTGTAAAACTGCTGGGTATTACTCTGGACAGTAAACTCTGTTGGGACGAACATGTACACAACTTGTGCAAAAAACTTGCTCGTGTTACCTGTCTTTTAAGAAAACTTAAAACTTGTGTTAATTCTGATGTTCTTTTTATGGTTTATTTTGGTTTGTTTCATACCCATCTTATTTATGGTATAAGACTATGGGGCAATTCACCATCAGCAAAAAAAGTGTTTGTTTGGCAAAAAAAAGCAATTAGGGTTATCTGTGGCCTAAATGAAAATGATTCATGCAGAACAGTCTTTCCTGAACTTAGCATATTTACTCAACCTAGTCTGTTTATTTACTATAATCTTATATTTGTTAAAAACAACACCCATATCTTTCAAAAAACCTCTACTATTCATTCTCACAACACCAGACAAAAAGAGGACATTGTTAGACCTAGTATTAGACTTGATAAGTATTATAAGAGCCATAGTTACCATCAAATTTTAATTTATAATAAACTGCCAACCAATGTTAAAATGTTACCACCTAAGAAATTTATCCATGTTATTAGCAAGTGGCTTAAAGTTAAGGCATTTTATACCACTGAAGAGTACCTGAGCTGTGACCCTCAAGACATTATCTATTGATTTTATATACTTTGACGACACCTATTGTATACTGCTTATTTAATGGTGAATAAATTCTTGATTCTTGATTCTTGATTCTTGAAACATAGTGATATCAGTTAGGATAGAACTGAAGACTAGACCTTATCCTAAAATAAAATAAATCATAAAATAAAATATTAATTTTTATAAAATAGTTACTTGTTTTGACTTTTTTTATAGTAATAAAACATTCCTCACACTGCTAACACTTAACAAAACTTCTGAAATGTTATTAAAATAATTAAAGTAATATTTACATTTGAAGAATTAATTAAATAAGAACGCCTTCACAAAGGAAACGCAACTACAACACACTCCTGTATTGCGGGTATTGCATTGACTTTCTGCAGGCGTTTTTAATTTTTTTTTTAATTTTTTTTTTTTTAATTCTCGTCTCGATAAAAATCTCGGCCAAAAAAAATCTCGTCTCGTGTAACGAGATTTAAAATTTCCCGAAATTTCGAGACTTGACCATCCCTAATTGTAAGTATAATTGGTTTTAATTCCAAAAGTGAAACACGGTATATCCATTAAGTAGAGGTTTTATTTTTTATTTTCGAAGTTAATATTTTAGTTAATTACGACCAGTGTTTCACTCAAGGAATTAACGCCTAATTATTAATTTGTTTAAATTAGGGCCTAACCCGGGCAGTGATGAATGTGTCATTGACTGAAAGCTGATGCTTTAACGACCATATCTGAGCCCATATTTTAAAAACTAAATACTATTATTATTACTACTAACCCTGGACATACTCAGTTAGATTAGCTATCCGAGGCCGACAGTACAATTTTGTCCCAGGACGAAATTGCACCGTCACAAATGGTGCTGCGAACAGGGACTTGGTAATTATATAGTTATCGATCGTTAATTTTTGCCATTTTTGGCTGGCGCCCGAACGATTTGTTTTTCAGTGAGTAAGAACGGTAAAAATCGAAAATGCGAGTTTTACAATTGTTCTTAAATATTTGGTCTTATCTTCTCTGGCCCGTATACTACGTAGTTACTCCGAGTAAAACTGTTGCGGAAAAAACTCTCAGGACTACGTCGAGCACCGTGAGTAGTGCTACAAGTACGGGTGCAATATCGAAAACGACCAAATCAATCGAAACGACTAGTACTTCAACGATTACTACTACTACGAGTACTGGGGCAATATCGAACACAACCAAACCGATTGAAACGACTACTGCGACAGAAGCGATAACGACACAAGCTGTAGAATTAAGTTCGAAAACTCCGCCGGAAGAAGATCCTAGGACGAGTTGGATAAGGTCGTTAAATAAAGACGAGCTTAAGCGAGAGATGGATAGGTTTGGGTTAGATTCGTCGGGAACAATGGACGAATTAAGACGCCGATTCTCGAAGTTTTGGAAAGAGGGAATTTCCCGAGGAAACCAGCAAACTCCAACTAATGATTCGGAAGGAGAGACGATTTCTGTAACGGGAAATCAGTTGTACGTTAGGCCTAACTCGATTGATGTGCCTAGTAAAATACCAGGTCACGTGACCACGAGCGAGGTTAATAAAATTAAAGAAATTTTAGGAATGCCAGAATATGTACCGTTCGAGGAATTGTGTAAATCAATTGCAAATTTAACACGACGATCGACTACTTACGATACTAACGAGCCAACACAGCCAATGCGAGGCACGGGCGGATTAACTTACAGCTCGTTGCCTATTATGAGTACGCAAACAGTTACGTCAAATATGCCTACTGTTAGCAAAATGCGACATTTGCCGGACGAATATAATACTACGCCATCAGTTTGTAGTATTGTTAGAAAATGGAATGTGAAGTTTGACGGACATAAAGATCCCATATCATTCCTCGAACGACTTGACAAATTAATCGAAGCATACCGGATTAACGATGACGAGATACTTAAAGCACTTCCCGAATTGCTTACAGGTACCGCACTTTTATGGTACAGTAATGGGAAAGATTTCTGGCCAACATTCGCGACGTTTAGAGATAGTTTCGCGCTACAATTTCTGCCACAGGGTTATCAGCGAAACCTTGATGAGGAGATAAGGCGGAGAACACAGGGCGAAAAGGAGCCTTTTAGGGACTTTGTAGTTGCGATAACGACGTTAATGAGAAGGAAAGGCGGGCTTTCGTTACAACAGAAACTCGACATTATTTTTACTAATATGCGACCGGACTATAAGTTAACGATGAGGAGAGGAGAAATATTCTCTCTTGAGGACATGATTACACAGGCGACGCATGTTGAAAGTTATATGCGCGACAAAGCGTTATATCGTCCGCCACCGCCGCCGTCGATGGCACTGGTACCGGAAACAGCTTATCAGCCACGAAAGCAAACAGAAAAACATTTTGCACAATCCGTCATTAATGTATCAGAAATAAATACACACGAACACGAGAATGAGGGAATGGGTGACGATGTAAATAAATCATTACATCAATTACAGAATAAAGCTTCTCATAGAAAATACGATTTTAACCAGCGGTGGAATAACCGCATGGTTAATAAAAATAGCGATAACTACAATACAGGTAGGCCGAATGCCGCGCATACCGCAAATATCGGGACTATAGGAGAATGTAAGCAGATGAAACAAACTGCACGACAACCGATCACATGCTGGAATTGCGATAAAGTAGGGCATTTATACCGAGATTGCCGACGCCCAAAAGTTTTAAAATGTTTTAACTGTAAAACTGTGGGTATTAAAACAGTCAATTGTAGGTGCAATCTGGGAAACGAAACTCGGACTCTGGTGGTAGGAGCTCATTCCCAGGTTACACAAAAACCCTCTAGTTGGAACGATTGGTTGGAGCGTATTAAATATTCCTGACAAGTTTTGGGTCAGTCAAAGATCCCACGGAAAATTGGCCGTACGTTGCGATTTCTATTTATGGAAAAAGCTTTTTGGCTCTTTTGGATTCTGGGGCAGCTATGAGCCTGATTAGTTCCAAAGTGGCGAAACACTTGGTAAGTTGTGAAATTAGGCCTAAGCCAGTTTCTATTGAGACTCGATTTGCGGACGGTACTACAGCGAAACAAACTGAGCTTTTCGAGTTTGAGGCTACGATTGACGATAGGAAAAACGTTTTAAATGCGGTCCATCTACCTTCGCTGACTAGTGATGCTGTTTTGGGAGTAGATACGCTACATAAACTAGGCTTGATCACGTACAACATTAAAACTTGTCATTTGAAACAAGATGACGAATTTCAGGACACGAATCGTAAAGAGACTGATAACAGAGTTGCCGATGCTTTGTCACAAAACCCCGTTAAGCAGCCACCGGCTGAAGATGTACGAGTCACAATCCGTCCCGTAGTCGCGCATTTCAAACCTTCGCTACAAACCTCAAAGGTTAACGAGCAACCAAACCCAGATCGTGGGTATCATACTTCGTTTGTGAAAGTAAGCAAATGTCCTTCCTCATCCGAGAAATATACTTCGGAATTAGGAGAGCCAGAGCGTGAGGTAAAACATGCCAAACGGATACGATGACGCCCAAAAGAACCTCCGAACTGCCTTAAATAGACAGGCTAACCTACGGAGGAGGGATGTGCGGTACAATGTTGTTCGGTCCGTTCTAAAACGAACTCACGTGCTCTCGTCAAAAACCGAAGCTATTGCGAGTCGATTAGTGCCGAAATATGAAGGGTCCTGTTATTGTCATAGGTCGGTACAAAGTACACCCCCCGAATGGAAATAGAAACAAGTATTTCGAGTTAAGGGTCTTAGGTCTTTTCTAGGACGGCATGACGATTTGATGTTGAAAAAGCGTCTTTAACATCACAAGAATATTGTTTTATTTTGTACGAGAGTTTTCATTTCAGTTACTTGAGATGATGGCACCCATTGTTGATTTCTCTGAAGTGAGAGAATTTTTTTTTTCATTCATTTTTTTTCTCACCCCGAACTAAAGAGGGGGTGTAACGGTTAAAATATTACGAGATCAGAAAACGAGCGTTTAGGCGATTTCAAATGGCCCGCGCAGAGTCATTAGTTCACAGAGCGGCCACGCACTGCGCTAGCGTCGCGACCCCTATAAAAGCGGCGCAGGACAAGGCTCAGTCGGACTTAGGGTTAGGCTGAGGGCGGAATAGCTCTCGGGCCCGCGGATATAACGAGACGATAGGTCGAGGGCGGAATAGCCCGGTAAATAAGCCAGTGGTGAAATAACCCTGGTAGCGTCGAATACTAGGTGTTAGGCCGAGGGCGGAATAGCTCTCGGATCCGCGCATATACATCGCAAAACCGTAGGTCGAGGGCGGAATAGCCCGGTAATTAGCCAGTGGTGAAATAACTCTGGTGTCGTTGAATAATAGGTGTTAGGCCAGGGCGAAATAGCTCGTGGACCCGCGACAATCGAATTGGTTAATTAATTGTAAGTATAATTGGTTTTAATTCCAAAAGTGAAACACGGTATATCCATTAAGTAGAGGTTTTATTTTTTATTTTCGAAGTTAATATTTTAGTTAATTACGACCAGTGTTTCACTCAAGGAATTAACGCCTAATTATTAATTTGTTTAAATTAGGGCCTAACCCGGGCAGTGATGAATGTGTCATTGACTGAAAGCTGATGCTTTAACGACCATATCTGAGCCCATATTTTAAAAACTAAATACTATTATTATTACTACTAACCCTGGACATACTCAGTTAGATTAGCTATCCAAGGCCGACAGTACAATTTTGTCCCAGGACGAAATTGCACCGTCACAACGATCCACGGTAGTTGATGAAGTCGTCAATAACTGGGACTACTATTGTCCTTTGATCGTAGGGGATAAGACATATAGACTAGAAGTAAAAAACGCGACGGAATACAGAAATTTGATGACCAAAGATGGGGAATACGCCGGTAATGTCGAAATCGAAGCTGCAGCAAGAGTTTTTGACTGCCAATTCAAAATATATGCTGAGAAATTGGATTATTTTGTAACGGTTGGTGAAGGCACAACGATCTATAAACTACGATTCTCAGGAAATGTGGATGCTGGGCATAACGATGTTTTGATAGAAAATAGTATGCCTGAGAATCAAGAGGATATAATCTTACCAAAATCAAAACGTGGCCGTGCATAAAAAAATAGAAAAAGTAAAACATGTTCTGGCAGACGTGAATCAACAGCTCATAATAATAAATTGAAGAAACCAAATTATAGTATGGATAAAGATTTACTCCAAGGGGTAAAAAAGTATTTATCAAGCAATCAAAAGGATGGAGACCCAGAAAATGAAAAAGAAACAGAACAAGATAGTCTGACCAACACTTCAATCAGAGATGATGCAACTTCCTCAACCTCCTTAATTTGTGTATCGGGAATGCCAATACACAAATTAAATTTACAAATTTGAGCTGTAATAATGTTGCTACGAAATCTTAACACAAAACGGGGGTTATGTAATGGCATACGATTAATTGTTAAAGAACTCAAGCCCAATTCAATAATTGCAGAAGTTTTAACTGGATCAGCAGCACGTGAAATTGTATTCATTCCAAGGATTGACTTAGCACAGACGGACACAGATTTACCATTTGTACCCTGTTTGTACCATTTGCGTTGACAGTAAGAACCATAGATATTATTATTACCATTTGTTTTCAAAAGACGGCAATATCCTTTAAAATTAGCGTTTGCTATTACAATAAACATAGCGCAAGGCCAGACATTGGATAAAGTTGGGATATACCTTCCAGCAACAGTATTCAGCCATGGACAATTAATTGTATGTTGCAATATCAAGGGTTAAAAGGTTTGAGGACATACAAAATTAAAATTATCCCTGGCAAAGAACAAGGAAGATTATTAAAACAATCAGATGAAGTCTTTACAAAGAATGTTGTTTACAAAGAAATACTGTAAATAAAATATTTTTGTAAAATTTTATTGGTTTTTCATTATTTTACTCTCTTAGAAAATCAGTTTATTTTCTAAACAATTTCATTCTTAAAAAAATGTGCAGGTACTTACAAGGGCATATATTATGTACTACTGTACTTTCTAGGGACCGTTGTATTTAACTACAACGGGCTCTGTTGCTATTCATCAGATAAAAAGTTATTTTTACCCAGTCTTCCAAAAAGTTCAACTCCCAGTGCAGCGAAGATGAAGAAGAGTAAGAAGAAGAGCAGTCCAAGGTTACCAACTTGGGGCAGAGCCTGCATCACTGTGTCTAGAAGAGCTCTGATACCTTTGGCCATCTTGAGCAGCTTCAGTACTACAACAGAGTGTGACCTTGACTATGGAATGGATACAACTAGACACATTACATTCCCATGGTAAAATTGTAGATTATAGTTTGAGCATTAAAACGAACATAGTTAAATTGAACCACTGTCAAGAGTATGCTGATGCAAATTACTGGCTGTTGAATATGTCAAATTATTAAACAAACCGTAAGGAAAAATTTACTGTGAACTATTAGATATTTTTGTCTAAGTTTGTCAGCAGCGAAAACTAAGGGTGAAAATATAATTTAGAACTCACACACTTTCAATTTTAATTTCTTTATTCATTCAGAAGTATACATTATACAGCATTTGAATAGTGCCATAGATTACTTACCGGTATTTAAAAAAAAATTAAGTGGGCTTTGCGAGTGGCTCTTTCAACTTCAGTACAACGGTTCTTTACAGCTAGACTCGTACTTGTCAGAATACAAGGGATCTCATCCACACATTATTACACAGTAAAATCTTGTCGTAAAGACATATTTAATAAATTTTTGAGCTACACTTAAAATTCTTCAACTTTAGCTACAAAGCTGGCTTCTACAGTCTATACTTCTTACAAACTTACCCCTGGCTATCCTAAGCACCCTCATGACTCGTATTATCGTAGGATTGATAGGAATAATCTTTGACTCCACCTCTTCCAAGGCAATACCAACAATAGACAAGATTACAATTCCTATGTCAAGTTGATTCCATCTGAAAACAGAACATATAATTAATTACATTACCCAAGAACAAGATACAATTGACAATTGATAAAATTTTGGTAGTACAATTAAGGGCGTTTTATTAGGTTACAAATTATTTTATAGTAGGAATTCCAATTTATGATCCTGGGTGTAAGAAACAGATTGATCTTTATCTTTAGCAGTTACACCAGTCATCATTAAATTCAAATAGAAAATATATAGAGAATCAAAATGGTGCCCTCCCACTAAATACTATTCGTTACTAGAGTTTTTGAAAATAAATTCTAAGAAATTGTGTTGAAATAAGAAAAGTACAATTTCATAAATTATTTCTTCTCCCTACCTTTCAGTTTGAAATATTTTCTTAAAGTTTTGCTGATAAACAGTATTACTTGGTCTAATCACATGAACGGCAGAGATGAGTTGTCTTCAGATAACTCATAAATATTTCTCATTATAAGGGTTTGATTGATTAGATTGTAAAAAATGACCAATTAATTATATCCCCAACAGGAGTTGCCACCCCTCCCAATTTTTTTGGGACTGTCATCACTTCAGACTGTTTTGCCCGTGTTTATAGCTGTAATGTAAGACTAAATTACTTACGTAATTCCCGTCACAGCTCAATAAAATATGTCTATTCAGGACATGTTTCGGTGTTAAAACACCATCGTCAGCTTCAGGTACATAGTGTAGAGCTGATTAGTTGTTAACATCGTCAGAAGATAAACACAGTACGGACACGAATAAATACATAAACAATTAATAATTGTTTTATGTATTTATTCGTGTCCGTACTGTGTTTATCCTCTGAAGATGTTAACAACTGATCAACTCTACACTATGTACCTGAAGCTGACGATGGTGTTTTAACACCGAAACATGTCCTGAATAGACATATTTTATTGAGCTGTGACGGGAATTACGTAAGTAATTTAGTCTTACATTATGTCCAACAGCTCAGGGGTACACACATGGATTTAAATTTATAGCTGTGTTGATCCTGGCAGAAGGGGGGGGTCCCAATTTATCTCTAACCAAAGGTGCCAACTGTGACCCCCATGGAAGAAAATAGGCTGCAAGAGACACCTAAACTATGTATTTTTCAAGAGGTAATTGATAATTCTTTACTTACTTGTCTTTCAGGTACAATTTTAACCCTAGCGCCACTAGCTTCATAATAGATTCCAAGATGAATACAGCAGTGAAGAAATAGTTGAAAATCTTGAGTGCATACGACAGTGCCTGAAACAAAGAAACTTATTTGGCAAAAGTAAAAAAAAAAAAAAAATGCCAGCCTGACTTTAAACCGCAATACTACACTCAACAATACCCTCACTGACTTACCTACATGATAACCAATTCCCCACCAAAATCTATTATGACCAATTGTTTTGTCTTAGGTACTACAATTCAAAACATTTATTTTCAAACATTTTCACTTAATCTCTTTTCACTCTCTCAAAAACAATCAGCTATTTGTTACTGATTTCAGTTTACATAAACCATATGTTTATACAGTAAAAAAATTATTTTTTTTTATTCGTACAAAGTTATTTGACTTTTTAACTCAGTCCACTTACAGGCACTTGCCCGGCAAACCATCTTTTGTTATTTTGTCATTGGCACCTAATATTTTCAATCAAATAATTTTGATGACAGTATAAACCTTGGGCATCATGTAGAACTCCATTGCCATAGTGATGACGTTGAGTCCAATAACAGCTGCTATGGCTAGGTCGAAGTACTTGGAGGTCACCACGTTGTGTACAAACAAGCGAGAGCGCGAGTACGTTGTATAGTACGGCGGCTCATGCATTTCTGTAACAAGCGGAAAGATTCAAATGTTGAAAATAACTTCTTGATTAGCATCAAACTTGTTGGTGCTATTACACTAATACAACAAATTATTAAGTTTCAATTAGTAGTTTTGATTATTTTGATCTTCAGAAATCACAATGTGTTTTCTGTGTGATATGACCGTACTCATGGTTTTATCCACCTGTGATTTTAAGTTGACAAGTATACCTTTTACTAGGGATCTTTGGTTCCCCATTTATTTTGTGTTAGGCTGAATCAACAGTAGGCCTGAGGGATTGTTATTGGGCCGAAAATGATTATGGGGGAAAGCTTTGACTTTGGTAGAGTCAAGCCAACCTGAACCTCTATTTCCGAGATCGTGTAATGCGTTTGTGAAGATGCTCCATGAAAAACGGATGACTTTAACGACCACCATTTTGCCAATCATGGGGAGACAATGATGTCAAATGTGTTATCAATTTTGCCGTGACTACGAAAAATGTTTTTTTATTGTGTTGTGACCAAATTTTGCCAAGATTGTGGGAAGGGGTTTAGAACTAGCTGTGACCATATGCAAGGTGTTCACAAATTTACTATTATTACAGAAGATGTTCAGACAATTTAGACTTGAACGTGGAAGATGTTCGCGATTTCGACATGACAGTGTAAGAAGTTCTCGGTTTCGCTGTGACAGATGAAGAAGTTCACAATTCACCGGGACCGAGTGGGCAAGCATCACTTTAAAAAATAAATACAAGTATATTACAGTTTATTTATATATTTATAAAGTAGTTCCTAATAAAGGTGTTCCTACTTTGTTAGTTATTTAGAACGATGGATTAAAAGCAGATAAAGGACGTATTTTCAAGGGATGAAAAATTGCCTTGTCATGTTTACTATCTCAGAGGGTTTTTATAATTGTTTTGCTTAATTGCTTAATCCAATCTTTTCTCATATCCACCCTTAATGTGGCTGGTATGGGTCGAATAATTAAGGCTCTAGTGTATCAAAATCCACACCAAGCCAAATACTGAGAGCCAAGGATTAAATATTGTGATATAGGCTAACTACAATTCAGTCAAATACAGTTTGTGATAAACAATTTAAGAAAATCAGAAGTCGCAAAAAGGATTTCACAATCTAATTTGCATGTTCAAAAACAAAATCTTTGACTCACTTCTTCTTTTCTTCTCCATCTGTTTTGCTCGTTTCGCCATCCTCCTCACCCTCTCTTCTTTCTCCTGTTCCTCCCTGCATCTGTGGAAGTTCTCCACGACCACTCCCACAAACATGTTAAGCACAAAGAACCCAACCAAGAGGATGAAGGCGATGAAGTACAGCAGTCTCCATTCTGAGTAGTTTTCTATCGGCTGAAAATCAACATCAAAAATTATATTAATACCTTCAGTATGATTGATATTGATACAAATGGCTTAGTTGAAACTATAAAGGCTTCCATGGCGAAAGTAATCTGTGTAATTTTAGTCTTTAGGAGATTATAACATAGTTAAATTGGAAAAAAATAGCCAATGTGTTGCAGCAACCATCTTCGGAGTAAGCTACAAGTCAACTGAACCCTGGATCCAGAATCTCAACAATTATTCATTTTGAGCATCTTCTGTTCAAAAGTAAAAATTCCCAACAAACTAGTTTTGTGGTGGTAAACACACATCAGTATGAATAAGGAGAAAATTGATGAAAAATTCACCCATCATTTCAACCTCCAACCAAGCAATGCACAGTAATTTTATATGGGTCTCTCCCAAAAAGCTTTGCTACACATAAGTGAATTTCTCATGAGTTACACACCAGACTTGGCCAAAGTTGGATTTGAACCCCAGAACTAACTATGGTACCGTCACTGAACCGAAGAAATGTCCTCTAATGTCCTTCAATAGGCTAGGCATATTAGGAATATAAGTAACAGTTAGCGGAAAGTTTAGGTACAGTCCTAATCATCACTTTTCTTTATGTTTTTTGGGTCGCTGAACACGAATATGAGGTTTGCTGACAGATATTTTGCCCGGAACATTGTTTATTTTGTGAAAAACCTTAAAATTTGGGCACTTTTTGGGGGTTTTCGGGCAAATCTCGGTAAGTATGGGTTTTTGAGAAAATCCTGCTTTGTAAAATTAAAGATGACAAAATTTACTACAAGTTTCCTACATAATGTTTGTTTCTACGTCGAACCGTTTCGCCATTAGAGCACACTAAAAAAGGCCAGAAGTACGAAAAATTAAAAACATTGCTAAATGCTGCCGTTTTACATTAGGTTTCCATGGAAACAACCCATGTTACGATAATTTTAACTATTTTATTTATTCATGATAACAAACTGAAACACACTTAAAAATACCCCCGCCACAGCAAACCTGCAGAGTAAGCGAATTTCCATTTCCCTGATTGGATTTACACTAAAATGTCTCCTTGGAAATATCACATTTATTCCCTATTTAAATAAAAGTTTAACGAGTACTTAGGTTTGCTGCAACATGGAGGTTAAAAAGGAGTTTTTTGTAAAATGTAATAATTTGGTATGAAATGAATGCATTTTCCAAATTTGATAAGAATAACATGGGCATTTTAAATTAACAGATTTTTGGAATTTTCTCAGTAACCATTAGGCGCATAACAACGCTTTAATATACTAAATTATTTGTTTTTTTTAAGCTCTACAAAATGGTATGGAAAGAAATCGCTAAATTTTAAGTTTATAGGGTCAAAAATAGGAAAGCCCAATTTTTACCCCATAAAAACCCCCATAAATAACCGTTCCCATAGTCCAATCATGCTGGTTCGCGAACTCGTTCGAATAGACGTAGGTTTACACGTTTGTCCCAATTTTCATTAAAATCTGATGATTTTTGTCGAGTTCTCACCCTAATGGAAACATATATGTATTTTCTCTAGGGGCTGCAAAACGAAAAAGTAAATCGGTCCCGGGTCCAGGTCTTACTATGACTAATACGGTAATAGCTTATTCCCTATAGGGAAATTCACTTATAAACTAACTAGTGTGTCTTCTGACCACAAAACTCAACCTGAAAGAAATACCCGTCTTTTAGGATTAAATTGTGGAAAATAGAGACAATCTTTCTTTTTATAATGTTAATAACCTCATGAATAGGTTGGTTGGTAGGATCATGTAATTCACTCTCTTCGGGTTGAAGGTTGGCATTCCATCCATTTTTTTTATGGGCCCATGATGAAAGAAAAAACATTTTCTTCCACATCCTCATTTGCTTCTAAGGCTTCCTCAAGGGTAAGAAACTGAGGACCAAGTTTATCTTTGAATATTCTCAGCTGCCTACAGTTTTCTTCTTTATAGCAAGGCAAGGAGTGGTGAGTATGTTGTCGATTAAGTTTTTCTTGGTTGATGCTTGGTTTTTTATGGTTGAAAGGTTGATGCTCTGGCCATAACTTTTGTGTAGTAGGAACCCACCATCAATAACATACTGCACTTGACCATGGAAGTACTTGTTTTCAATGGGGACAGGGGCTTTAGGCCTTTAAAGATTTGATTTGGTTCTTTGTGCAAACCGTTATTATCAAACAACGAGAAAGAGTATGGACCCAGTTCGTAGGACAAGAAGTGTTTTAGTTCTTCATCAGAATTCTTAGTGATGCTGATACGTTGAAACAATGTGTTGGGGTATACGGGTAAGAATGCTCTACTTTCATCGCGTTATTCAGGTCCGTGAAGTTAGCCCCCCCCCCCATAAAAGCACTAACAATTAAACTAGTATTAATGGTTAGTGCTTTGTTAGTGCTGGTTAGTGCTTCAACTCCCATCGTTAGTGCTCTTACGGTTCAGGAGCTATAACCGAAAAACTGTGGGGGGGGGGGAAACTTCACGGAAGTTAGCCCCCCCCCCAGTAGTAATATGTGAGCACTAACTTTTTTTAAACTGTACCATTTAGCGATTTCTTTCCATACCATTTTGTAGAGCTTAAAAAAACAAATAATTTAGTGTATTAAAGCGTTGTTATGCGCCTAATGGTTACGGAGAAAATTCAAAAAATCTGCAAATTTGAAATGCTCATCTTATTCTTATGGAGACTAAGTCTGTTGTAGTTTGCTTGTTTATGAACATATTTGGATCAAATTTGGAAAATGTATTCATTTCATACTAAATTATTACATTTTACAAAAAACACCTTTTTACCCTTCCTGTTGCAGCAAACCTAAGTACTGGTTAAACTTTTATTTAAATAGGGAATAAATGTGATATTATATTTCTAAGGAGACATTTTAGTGTAAATCCAATCAGGGAAATGGAAATTTGCTTAGTCTGCAGGTTTGCTGTGGCGGGGGTATTTTTAAGTGTGTTTCAGGTTGTATCATGAATAAATAGTTAAAATTATCGTAACATGGGTTGTTTCCATGGAAACCTAATGTAAAACGGCAGCATTTAGCAATGTTTTTAATTTTTTGTACTTCTGGCCTTTTTTAGTATGCTCTAGTGGCGAAACGGTTCGTCGTAGAAACAAACATTATATAGGAAACTTGAAGTAAATTTTGTCATCTTTAATTTTACAAAGCAGGATTTTTTCAAAAACCCATACTTACCGAGATTTGCCCGAAAAACCAAAAAAAGTGCCCAAATTTTAAGGTTTTTCACAAAATAACCAATGTTCCGGGCAAAATATCTGTCAGCAAACCTCATATTCGTGTTTAGCGACCCAAAAAACATAAATAAAAGTGGTGATTAGGACTGTACCTAAACTTTCTGCTAACTTTCCTAATATTCCTAGACTACAACCCTCAGGCAAAATTATATGCTTTTAATAATTAGAAACATCAAATTATATTTTATCTTAGAATTTGAGATTTTTACACGTTCACTGCGGATGACGAGTAATCTTGTCGCCGCAAGCGCTTTTTAGTGGCGTGCGACGAGGATACTTGTCAAAGCGCTGTTTACAAACTATTGTTCCAACGTGAGGTTAGTCACTGCCGTGAGTCGTTGTTTTGCTTGCCGCTTGTGCCAGTTTTATGCTTTAAGCTGGTATAATTAGTTTTCTGATCCGACTATTTTATTGGTGGTAGGGACAGTTACAAATTTATTGTAGTGTGGGGTTTAGGCTTGGATCTAATGACATGCAATAGAAAAACGTTAATGAATGTACTGTGGCATCATGGAAGGAACCTAACCTTTAAATTGTGCTTGATTGTTTTTACGGTATTTATTTATGGTGTACCCAAGTAATTTACCCCTCCTTTTCCCTCCATTTGATAAAACTGAGGGCCGGCTAGTAGTATTGTTTAGTGCTGCTATCTGTTGGGTTCTTGTAGAACTACGTACACAACGACTACGTACACAACGACTGGGGCGCAGTTTGGATTAAACTAAATCTTAACGTTTTTGCACACACGTCCACGCAGCGCATTAGATGTTTGCGCCAATGGCAGTGGCCGGCCATCGCGCACGATTGTTTCACCCTGAAGCCAAGTCATTGTCCATCCACATACCTGTTGGTCCACGCCCACAGCGTCCAGCCCAGTATACATGATGTTGACCCAACCATCTCTACTGGACAGTACAAACAGCGACATCAGCGCCTTCCCCAGGTCGTCAAAGTTGTACTTGCGGTTCACCCACACATTCCTCTTGTCCGCTAGACAGTCCGTCTTGTTCCTCACGTTCTTGATGTTTGGACCATCGCAGTAGTAGAACATGCCTTTGAACAGCTGTAGGCAAATGAAGGTAATGCTGTCAACTTTAACACTTTTGTTGATCAGTTTGTAGTGAGCCAGAGATAAAAGACAGTTTAATGTAGGGATGGATGGGATTGAATTTTTAGTTCGGGACGGGACGGGATTTTTATTTCCTTCCCGATTTTCGGGACGGGACGGGACGGGATTTTTTTCTGTGCATAAAATGAAAGTCTTGAGAATTGCAGTTACCAAAAAAGGCATGCGAAATCAATCTTAACTGTTTGTGGCACTGATCTATAAAAACCAAAAAATGGGTAACAATTTTTCAGGTACCTATAGAAACTTGTGACTTGCGGTCACGGTGCGATCGTCAAAATGACGGCGGTAACGGGGTGATAGTCGGTATGACTCGCGGTCACGGCATGATCGTCGGTATGACTCACGGTCACGGCGCGATCGTCGGTATGACTCACAGTCACGGCGCGATCGTTGGTATGACTCCGCGGTCACGGGGTGATCGTCGGTATGACTCCGCGGTCACGGCGTGATCGTCGGTATGACTCCGCGGTCATGGGGTGATCGTCGGTATGACTCGCGGTCACGGCGCGATCGTCGGTATGACTCCGCGGTCACGGCGTGATCGTCGGTATGACTCCGCGGTCATGGGTTGATCGTCGGTATGACTCCGCGGTCACGGCGCGATCGTCGGTATGACTCGCGGTCACGGCGCGGTCGTCGGTATGACTCCGCGGTCACGGCGTGATCGTCGGTATGACTCCGCGGTCACGGCGCGATCGTCGGTATGACTCCGCGGTCACGGCGTGATCGTCGGTATGACTCCGCGGTCACGGCGTGATCGTCGGTATGACTCCGCGGTCACGGCGTGATCGTCGGTATGACTCCGCGGTCACGGCGCGATCGTCGGTATGACTCCGTGGTCACGGCATGATCGTCGGTATGACTCCGCGGTCACGGCGTGATCGTCGGTATGACTCCGTGGTCACGGCGTGATCGTCGGTATGACTCCGTGGTCACGGCACGATCGTGCTTTATGACTCCGCGGTCACGGGGCAATCGTCGAAACGACTTCGTCTCCTGCGTTCGCGGACCTATCGCTCGCAATAGCGGCGTCATCGGCACTCGCGAAGCGGCAAAATCGCCGGCGATCGAACCAAATCCCGTCCCGAAAAATTCTCGAATCAAATGTAATCCCGTCCCGATAATCGAGAATATTTTTTTCCCGAAAAATTGCCGAAATTTCGGGACCCGTTCATCCCTAGTTTAATGTCTTTGCAGTTATGAGATTGGAATGGTAAGGGCAAGCCGATGAAAAATAATTAAAAGTAAAGACACAATCAACTAATGAGATATGTAATCTGTAATATACTTAAGATAGTAACAAAACAGAAATAATAATAGCCATTTAAACCCCTGTGTTTGGCCATTAAATCTATAGACCTCTAGAAGTAAGGCATACAAGGTCACATTTAACAACAAAACGGTTTGATGTTTGCTAGTAGAACTGATCTATTACAATTTAGAAGGTGGCCATCTGCAACGAGACCGAAACGTCCACTCAAGTATATACAGCAATATGATAATATTTTACATGACCACAACTTTGGCAAAACTATAATGTAGTTATTAGATAACAGTAATTTAAATAAACCTCATATTGGTTAATGACCTCTAAAATTTATTTCTAATGTGGTTGAATACATAAACCTCATATATTCAATTGAGTTTGCTAACCAGATGAATACAACCATTTGAGGAGAGGTTTGAAGGGTATCTATACAATAAAAACATCGAGTCAAAATCAAAATAATTTTTTATTCAAGAGGGGGCCCTTGAACGGTGAACACATGTATTTAGGTGTTTGGTGAAAACTTGGACTTTACTAATCATACTGGAAAATGTTCACAATAATTCCCACAGATCACCAAAAATTAACTGCAAACAAAAACATTGCAGCAAAACTAGGTTTTCTTTCCCTTTTAGGTTCTTCTTTTAAAATATTGCCAATGATGTAGGACCTATTAGTTTAAATTTCAAGATATCACAAAAATGTAATTTAGAAATAAGCAGCTTACCTGAACTCCTAGAATGCCGAAAATGATGAAGAATGTGCAGCAGATAAGTACGATGTTGCCGATGGGTCGTAGTGACGAGAGAAGAGTCTGTACCACCAGCTTCAATCCTGGGGCTCTGTTGATCACACGCAGAGGTCTGAGGGAACGGAGCAGTCGAAACACCTACGGAGGATCAAACAATAACTTTAAAGATGGCGTTCTTTGCTTGGTAGCGAAAACAATTTTTATCATCTCCATCAATACTTGGCCTAAAATGCCTACATTCGTATGGTCGCCATTTCAGAATAAAGTATTAAACGTTGTGTGTATGTTGATGTCAAATCTATCTGCCAAGTGCCAGAAAAAATGTATAAACAGAAAATCCTTCAAGGTATTTGACAGAAATTTGGGCAAGTAGGTTAGCATTGTCTTTTATAACTAGGCTATACAACAATTGCAAAAACATTAAGAAACACTTCTCATTGCACACCTAGAGCCTAATTAGAATCTCCATGCCAATTCCTGAGTTCTTAAAGTTAGTAGTTTTTCAGATACATTGATCAGTGAGTGGTATTTGACTATTATAAGTATAGATAGATTTCCTTTTAATTTACTAAGAATAATTGTACACAAATTGTGGTATTTTGCAGAAGAAGATTTTCCATGTAAAGATATAATTAGGTATATCCTCACGAAGAACTGATTTTAAAGTTGATAATTAGGAGTACACGTACTAGTAGGTACAATTAAGAATGTATAATGTCCATAGTTACTTAGAATTTATTTTTTTAGCATGATACTGTACAAATAAGAGTATGATAACAGTAAACCAAATTATTCTGTGATTTAAAATTTATTAATGACTTTAGTTAGGCTTTGAGAGTTGTTCTCAAAAAATTCCAGAAAAAATTAAAAAGTTTTTACTTCAAAGATGAGCTATATTTTAAGGTGTGTTCCTGATCACTAGGTCACAGAACTAATGCAGGGCAATTTTCCACTGGTGATTGAGAGGACTCGAACCCTAACCTTCAAGACAGAAGGTCAATGTTCTGACCTCAAGACTGGCTGCACCTCATGATTGTGTAACTCGCGCTAGAAACAACAAGTCATACAATATTATTTAACATAGAGAAATTTTACAATGAAATAAGAGTGTAGTTTCTATTTTACCCTGAGTATTCCAAAGATGCGAGGGCTGCTGGCTGTGAGAAGGGATAGCATCAGGTCAATGATAGAGATGATCACCAGTGAACCGTCCATGATGTTCCATCCAGACATAAAGTAGGCCTCTTCTCCATAGAACATGCCAGTGGACACAACCTAGAATCATAACACACTCTAACTAAACCCATGATTACACGAAGTAGGCAGGCTGTGGGGCAGATTACTAGTGTGTTTTTAAGTTACTTCAGGCAAGTAACCTTACCTGCCAACTGACTTCGTGTAAACACGACTTTGGTGCTGAAAGGTAAATGAATGAGAATGCATATATTAAATTTAATATCATCACTTAACCCTTTGCTTTGACATGTGTCAACTATTCAATGTAATACTTCTTAGTTTAAGTAGGTTTTTCCATATCTTATTGGAGGAGATAAGCCCTGCCAATATACACGTTAACCCCTCATGAGTTCAGACCTGACTACTTGACCACACCTGACCCCTTGCAACAATACCGTCCACCATTTTGAAAAATAATTTAATTGTACTTTCTTTTCCTCTTTTTGTTGTAGCTTAAACTGAGTGTCTTTCGGGTTAGTTTGTGTTTTGATAGTTAGGCCAAAAATGTTTTCTGTGTTGTTTTTATTTTGTGATTTTCCATTTGGCTGGTATAAGCTTGTTACAAACTTTCTCATCTAAGATGGGGTCAGATTTCTGATTCCAAAATGATGTAAAAACATTGTTTTTAACAAATTGTGATATAAATGTCCGCAATAATTCTGTATTCTTACAATCGTAATAATTTGGGAGTATTCAATCCTTTTTTTTAACTATTGAAAGCTTTTTTTGTTGCTTTTACACATTTTTGATGGTAGATTAATAAATGATGGCTCACCTTAACAAACATCTCGACAGCGAAGACGACAGTAAACACATAGTTGGCCGTAGAGAGGAACAGCCGTTCTGGACTGTCGGGAGGTATGTTGGGTCGCTCCATCGCCAGTGTGATACAGTTGAGAGCGATAAACAGAAGCACAGCGTTGTCAAACCACTTTTGGCCCACAAACTGGGAACACGCTTGACGGAAACTGCAACAGAGGATAGACCAATGATAGGGACAAAATCTTGAACTACAAAAGTTAGGTTGGATAACACTGACTGACTATGGATTACAGTTTTAACAACTGTCATCTTAAAATAATTAATTGTATGTATACACATAATCTTTTTCTTAAAATAATCAAAATTGTTATTAGCTCCACCAAACATTAGGCATACAAATGGAAGAAGTGAATATTTTCAGAAAACTCAATTTCCACAGAGAAGTAATTAAGATATAGAGGAAAAACTCAATGGTAAATTTAAGTGGTGAATAGCACTAGTCGCTGGTGTCCAGGGCAAAATCCAACCCCACCCTCCTCGCTCTTATGTACTACAACGCTCACGGTGGAGGAAGACCCTGTGTCGCGTGAGATAGGATTTTCCACATAACGCTTGCTGATCAAGCTCTTCCTTGCTCGTCACAGGTATATTTCCAGCACAACATACTAGAGCTGAAAGCACATGAAAGTCCCATGTTTTCAGTTGATTTGAATTTTTCGTTATGGTTTTTGGTCAACCTGAGTTTTGATTTAATGGGCTTCCGTTTTTTACTTTAACAGTGGCTGCTAAAAATAGTTTCTAGGTGGGTGGAAATCAAAAACGTTCATTGAAATAAAACAGAGGGACTGGAAAATTTAGAATATCTTGGCAACGGTGGATCTGGAGTTTTGGGGTACCGGTATTACGCATACCGATACCGGTACCCCAAAACTCCAGATTACCTTAACTGACTACCGACAAAGTTATTAGCAGTACTGTTGAATTGCATGGCTATTTTATTTTTGGTCTTTCCAAAGGTCTGGATCAAAGCAGGCCAAACTAAATAGAGCATAATGACAATTTTACGAATAAAATCATGTAGTGCTAATAATGCAATGTTAACTAACAGATATAAAAAATATTCCAACCTCAAAACAGGTAAAACACACAATAATTAATAAACATTAACACACAAAACTCATCGTAAAACAAAAAAGAAATTTGCTATGGACAAATAATAGGCCTATACTCACGGGTGTTCTGGTGGAAATATATAGAGCGAATAGTCCACTCTATCCTTAAGGCACCCCTTCTCCTCGAAGAAGAAGAAGACTTTCCGCAGCCCGGGTGAGAAATCGTCCTCAGTTTGAGTGGCTTCCTCTGGTAGTGGCATGGGTAATCGCTCCACCGTCGGTTCTCGTATCTTGTTGACCCGTGGGAGAGGCGCTGGGGAGGCTGGACGATCTGACAGCTTGTTGAGTGGCTTAGCGTAACATTCGGAGAGGTTCTGTACGCTCAGATCTCTGCCTGAGGCGACGCTCATGTGTGAATTGTGGGCGGAGCCAGTCTGGAATGTGGGGAATAAAGTTAAATTGTTGTAAGGTGTTTGATTTTAAATTAGCTAACTGTTTAATCTATATATTAATTTGAAACTGTTTTTCTTTGTCACAGCTATTTTGAGAGAACGGCTGGGCGTAGAAACTCGGTAGGGGTGTCTAAAGATAGGTCTTGGTCTGTAGATGAGCCATCAAAAGTGAAACATGGTGAATTCCCTTGGGGCTCTGCCCCCGTGGCCTTTAAATTCCCATCCCATGTTATTCTTATGGAGGAAAACGGGGTTTTTGTCACAGCTAATTTGAGAGAACGGCTGGGCGTAGAAACTTGGTAGGGGTCTCTAAAGAAAGGTCTTGGTCTGTAGATGAGCCATCAAAAGAGGAAAGAGGTAAATTCCCTTGGGGCTCTGCCCCAGAAGCCTTTACAGTTGCCTCTTCAGATTTGTTTACATTACGACCATATGCATAATTCTGAACTACTTTTTAATGCAACAGCTGTTAATATTTAATTGTGATTTATTGAATTTGTCATAATGAAGTACAGTATTTGCAATGAATTTTTCAGATTTTAAAATTTATTTTTTTCTGCATCGTGTCAAATATAATGTTCTACACAGTAACTTTTAAAATTATTTCTTATGGAGTTAACTTATGTCTATTGTATGGGTTGGTTTCTGCCTTTTTTACCACTTCTTGGAGATTTTATGTAGGTGATATTCTTTGGCATATTGCATCTGTAGACGAAATTTGGGTTGGTGTAATTATTACAATGGAAAAGAGCGAGAAATCCTGGACAATTTGATATAGGCTAAAAATAAAACTGAATTAACACTGTGCTACATTTCTTGAGCAATCATTGAAATAACCAATTTGCAAACAATGGAAACATAGAAAAAGTCATAGAACACAACCAAGTAGAAGAAATAGAAATAATGTTTTTTTTACACTAAAAACACTAAAAAAAACCAGATCAGCTTTTTGAAAAAGATAAGATATTTACAAAAGATTTTGATTATATCTAACTGTTGTGTAGATCGTGAGTATTTCCATAATCTTTGAGTCGTATGTAATGCTTCGCAATTGCTCGAATTCGAGCAACAGGTACACTAGTATTAATTATTAAACAATTGCATAGTTTATAGCTTTTTTTGTTTGATAATAAATTTTCTACTGGCTGGGATGAAATACAAATGCCAATAATTAAAGAGGCTCGTTTATATAGTATTACCATTACTACATGTTATTAACTCTTCTTTCATCTCTGGAATTTTCCCCGAAAAATTTTAAATATCTAAAATCAAACCTTGTTATAGAAATGGTAGCCCAGAGGAAATGTGTAATTATTACAAGTCTATCTCATTGTTATTCTCATTATCCAAAATTTTTTTGCAAGTTATGCATATACAACTTTCAAAATTCATTGAGGAAAATAATTTAATAGATAAAGAACAACGTTTTAGAGAAGGAAGGTCTGTGATGGACGCATGAGTTGATTTCTGTGAATCTATAATTAATTCAATTGATTCAAAGGAAAAAGTAATTGGAATATTCTTGGACTTAACAAAAGCCTTTGATAGCGTCTCGCATGATTTACCACTTGAAAAACTTAAATGTAAGGGTATACAAAGGAGAGCTTGGCGTTGCTTTGAATCATATCTTACAGGCAGGCAGCAGTATGTCACAATTGATCACATTATTAGCCATAACCTATTATTAATTATAAACACTTCCTTAACAAAAACTGTTAAGTATGGTGTACCTCAAGGATCTGGGACCCTTATTATTCTTAATTTAATTGACTGACTTCCCCCATTGATAGAATCCCCCAATCGTGTTTGTTTATTTGCTGATGACATTAATATAAAAATATCCGGTATTTCAAATTCTGATATGGAAGTCTCTTTTTCTGATGAGCTTACCAAATGTATCCAATGATTAAATGAAATCAATCTATTATCGTTTATCGAATCCAATAAAAACTAATTATATATTTTTTTCTTTAACAAGCAAAAATGCAACTGAGTTTAATATTGATATGGATATAATTTTACTAAATGAAGTTAAAACTAAAACAACAAAATTTCTTGGATTGTATATAGATAACTTAAACTGTGACAGTCATGTTGAAAACGTTTGTATAAAAGTCAATTCAGGCATATATGCATTAAGACAGATGTCAAAATTTATTAGTTTAAAAACCTTAAAAATAGGTAGTAGGTATATTATTAGGCTACTTAATTGAATCACACATTTCTTTTGGGTTGTGTCTTTATTGGACCACGTCAGATTTTAAAATAAATAGCATTCTGGATGAACTTCAGAAAAAAGCAATCACATCATGTTAACACTAAAATCAAAAGAATCCGCTAAAGAGCACTTTATGAAGAAATAGGAATTATGACTGTTTTTAGCTTATACATTTATCAAATAGTCTTTTATATTAAATCAAAACATGAAAGATTGCCAAAATTGAACTCTTTTCATAAGTATTCGACCGGAAAGGTAGGGAATTGGCATTCAACAGACATAATTTATCGGGTTACGAAAAAATCCCATCTTATAGTGGTGTTAAATATTTCAATAGCTAACCGTATCTGACAATATAAAAAATATAACTAATTTTAATTAATTTAAACAACTTTTGAGATTATTTCTCACTAACAGACCCTTGTATAAATAAGAAGGTTTTTTCAATTTCCTGAAGTTTGATTTATTGATAATGACAATATTCTCTGTTAAGTAGTCTTAACATAGTTTAACATAGTTTTTTCTTTTATAACTGACTCCATTCTGTACACAATGTGCAATACGAAGAAAGTTATTTTGATTGATTGATTGAATGGTTGATTAATAGTACGCAAAATTGTAATTTCTTGCAAATTGTTGATGAATTTACGTTCCAAGTATGAATCACGTTTGGTTATTTATTAGGTTTCTATGTAAAGAGGGCTGACCTCAATAAAAATCTGTAGCCAGTTGATAGATGTGCTTTAGATAAAAGTATATATAGGCTAGACATAAAAAAGTAGTTTAGGGAGTTCAAAGAATGTCCATAATGCCTTAAAAAATCGCTTGTGAATTACTTCAAAGAGTAACAAAGAGATTACGCAAAGAGTAACAGGGTTAAAAACTTCCCCTGTCCATTCAGCAATCTCTTGTTTAATTACACCACCATCCACATGCAAAATTTCCTTAACTTTAGTCACCAGCACTGCATTAAACTAAATTGAAGTTCGTCAGCCGCCATGGAAAACATATTAAAGATCCTACGGTACTTGATAGTTTTATAAATATTGCACATTGGTGTAAGACCAAAAAAGGCGCTTCAACACAGTGGCCCAATAAACATTTATAATACTGGTAAGCCACTTTTAACTCTATCAAGCGTTTTGACCCGCAAGATTTCTTGAAGAAGCTGGTCCCTCTGATCTGATCAGCTTACTAACTCTCTAAAGGATTTTTTAACAGCACATTTTGTTAATTTCTTTACAGTTCAACCAATTTATTGCACGTATCCCAAAGTTGTAAATGTTTGCTTTTAACATGTACTTCGTTGTGAAAATTGAAATTCTGACCCCTTCAACCCCTTTTGGGTAAAAGATGAAGATACAGTAATATGGTACCGGTACCCAAGGCCTTAATATCTAATATAAGATATCAGTTTCAGTTGGTGGTCCATATTTGATAATTGGTCATCCTAGCGGTGGTCTTTGAGGGATATGTGCTCGATTATGTTTTCACAAACCTTGATGATCTGTATGGCAGGCACCTGTGGTGGAAGCAGCTGATTACTGCCAGAGCTTCCTCCGCTGACAGAGCTCTGCCTGGTGAGAGGACCTGCTGTACTGCCTCCCACCCAAGCAACCTGCAAGCATTCATCGTAAAAAGGTTTGACAATAAGTGATGTCTTTTTGAAACAATACAGCCAAAGGACTCATTTGTGATGACATAGGCTTTTAATTTGCCCTCAGGTAGTAACAGCAGTAGACTGGACATGGAATCACTCCCCTTCCACTGTGATTATGATACATTTAGTAAAACGGGCAGCTGCTTTTGTATTATAAAGGTATTGAAATAGAAAATGGGATTTAAACTTTAGTATGGTTAAGGAGGTTATTTGTAGGCCTATGTTCTTATTCATACATTTTGTACAATTTACACTTTTAACTACTTACCCATTTGTCATTTAGGCTACAGTAGGTATTTCTCCTTTTATTATTAAAAATATTGGTAAATTAGCTCACATCTAGCTTGAAAGTCAAGATGAGTCCGAGATTTTGGTGCTAGACCCGTACCTAATACCCGAAATGGTGTATAGGCTAGGTAAGTTATCAAAGATTCTTAACTGAGTTAACGACTGATTGAATGAACTGATACAAATGTCCTTCTAAACTCAACTCTTTATTTTTTATTTCAATCGTGTTGAAACCATGGATAGTATCCAACCCTAGGCTACTAACTTAAACTCATTTTGTGTCCGAACAAGTCTACCTGTGGTGTGTGACAACATCCTGGAGGAGGTCGACTTCTGGAGCTATGACTCTGAGGACTGAGTCTGTTGGCAGTGCAGCTGTTCCTACGACACTGTGTGTTGTTACGGATTGTGTTACCCAGCAGGCCGCCATTGCAGTGGGAGTGGTCAGACAAATGACTGCAACATTCAAAGCATTATTACTAGGTCTTTTATAATTGAGGCTGTAGCTGATAAATGGGCCTAACTTATATCAAAAACCGATGTTTTGAGATAGTCGCGGTTAATGTTTAGAGGTCATGTTTGGCTGTCAGCGTTACCGGTAGCTGTCTATGGTTAGAGGGGCTATGAACACCAGCTGACTTTAAGAGTCATACCAACCAAACAAGCTTAAATAGGCATACACCATTCCAAATTATTATAGATTATACCTTTTAGAGGACATGAGGAAGCGAAAGAGCGATTCTCCTGAAAAGGGCGCATCCCTAAGTTTTACACACAAGTTCTTGGTCTTGATGAGGTTATGTTTGGCTGCTGTCAGCGTTGGCAGTTGTATATGCCTAGTGAGACCAGCTGAAGAGTCATACCAATGAATACAGAACCTTAAATAAGAAGCAAAACCGCCATATTAAAAGAGGCGACGCTACATAGATTTCCGCCAGCAGTAGTTCAAAAAGATTTATGTGGGGAGCGCTAGAGTCACCAGCCAAGTCTTCGGGAATTACCGCTAGCAGCAATTTTCGTGACGTCGCCTCTTTTAACACGGGGGTGTCGCTTCTTATAACATTCTATATTCATTGGTCCTACCAACCAAACGAACAAACTAGGCTACTGTAACTGAAATAGCCTACACCATTTCAAATTATAAAATATTATAAGTTAGACCTAGGCTACTAACTTATAAGACATGAAAATGTGAAATAGGGATTCTCCTCTAAAAGGGCTCATCTCAACTTAGGCCCTAATTTTAGCAGCTAACTTACAGCCTCAATAAACTTAATAGGATTCAGATACTTTATGAAACTGATGACTGCAAAACTCAATTTCTTATGTGAAAAACAATTGGGATTTCACAATTGGGCAGCTGATGAGAAGATTACCTACCTCGGGAAACTCGAAATAATTTAGACTATGCAAGAGATTGAACTTGAAATATAAAACTTAACTTAACACGTTCGCTGCTGACCGCTAGATGCTGGGACGGCGCCAGGACCTGAACTAACGCTCGCCGCTGCTTAAACATTGCTGCCGATACACTGAATTACAGTAAAAACAACAGTAGCTATACTGGATGGCAATGTTCTGCAATAAAACCGGCTTTTGACATAGTACTAAGTGATTCTGATAGATAGCAGCACTACCCAGGTTGCAGTCGGTAAAGTAGTGTTGCTATCTAGCAGGAAAGAGGTGGGACAAAGCCCTGTTCTAAACGACCCTGGTGGTGATTTTGGGAAACAATATTTTTTATTGTCAGAAAAATACGTCCCCACGAGCTGCAAAGAAATAATAAGACGCTCGTGACGAGCTGGCTGATCCATGAAAACGTTAAACAACAATGAATGGCGACGTTCCGGAACGTTCCTAGCTCCTGGCGCCGTGGCCCGTTTGTCGTTCCGGAACGTCCGTAGCAGCGAACGTGTTAATCTACACTAACTTAGAGGCAGATAAATTAAATTAATCTGCCCCATAAGTTGTCTGACAACTGGCCTCCAGTAAACACCGCCTATAGGTTTGGTCTTAGCCTAAGCGGTGTTTAGGCGGTGCTAGGCCTAGGGGATGCTGCCTAGGTTAAGTTATCTGTTATTAAGAAAACTTGTCTCTCTTTCATTCCAAAAATGTGATTAGACATAACAAACTTACATCAAGACTTTGTAAAAATACAGTCATAAAAGTATAGTATAATAAGCCTAGCTGTGTTTAATTGTTCCTACATCAGAATTCATTAAACTTATTTTTATCAAGGCTGGAGATTTTACTCGAGAATTGATATTGGATAACAAATCTGTTGCCTGCTTTAGGGCTAGAAGACAATTGGAAATCAATGAGTAGAACGATTTTCCTTACCAGATAAGTTTCTAATTCATAAATTTTGATATCAGTTATAATTTGGTACAAGATTAACATGAGTTGAATTAAGATAACATGACATAGGTAACTTAGGCTAGGAATTATAATATTTTTCCAGTTTAAAAAAAGATATAAAATAAATAAAAACACGCTAATGAGGTAATATAGGCACGGCAGCACACAAATAACTTAAACTTACACAGTTACACTCAAGACTCAAAATTTAAAACCAAAACACTAAACACTTAAACAAAACAAAACCAAAACCCAAAACAAACAATAAAAATAAACATAATCACAAAACAAACATTCAAATAGTTCAAACTTTTCTGTTTTCTTATTCTGCTGAAACAAAACAGCTGGGGGGATGACAAGAAAGCACTTTTTTGGGTTGTTCTGCGTAGATAGTTAAAATAAAAAAAAATACCCCCGCCGCAGCAAACCTGCAGACTAAGCGAATTTCCATTTGCCTGATTGGATTTACACTAAAATGTCTCCTTAAAAATATCAAATTTATTCCCTATTTAAATAGAATCAGTTTAACACATACTTAGGTTTGCTGCAACAGGGAGGGTAAAAGTGTTTTTTTATGTAAAATGTTAATAGTTAGTAAGAAATTAAAACATTTTCCAAATTTGGGCGAAATATGTTAATAAACAAGCAAATTAGAACAGTTTACTTATTCTCCATAAGAATAATATGGGAATTTTAAATTAACAATTTCTCCGTAACTATTAGGCGCATTATAACGCTTCAATATACTAAATTATTTGTTTTTTTAGGCTCTACAAAATAGTTTGGAAAGAAATTACAAAATTTTATGTTTTTTGGGTCAAAAATTGGAAAAACCCATTTTTACCCCATAAAAGCCCCCATAAACCCCCGTTCCCATGGTCCGATCATGCTGGTTCGCGAACTCGTTCGAATAAACGTAGGTTTACACGTTTGTACCAAATTTCATCAAAATCGGATCATTTTTGCTCGAGTTATCGCGCTAACGGACACATATATATATATATATATAAATATATATATATATATATATATATATATATATATATATATGAATTTGAACGGATGGTGTTTTTGGCCTCTAGGGACCTCAAAACGAAAAAAAAAATCGGTCCCGTGTCCAGGTCTTACCATGAGTACTACGGTAATAGCTTATTCCCTATATGGGAAATTCGCTAAAAACTTACATACAACCATAACTCCCATCAAAAGTTGAATAAATTCCTCACTGATAGCCAATGATTATGGTTTTGTAATTAATGTTTTTATGAATCTAAATTAATAATTTTATAATTTAATTACATGTATAACGGTAAGTTGTCTAATTCAAAAGTTTACATAAAAATGAGTTTCTTAAGTACGGCTTATGTTGAACTATAAAAAAAATAAAATAGTACTAGTAGGCTATATTCAAAGTGTATTAAAAAATCTGTTTTCTTGTCAAACTTAGTCAGCATTGTACAATATCTCTTCAGGTAATAAATCCACAGTTCCACACCCTTAAAATATCTCATATGCATATAAATGGTCTAAATGTAAAAAAGGAAATTTTATATGTAGTGACCACGGCCACCTTTAACTTCAGACCATGGCCCGTAACTTGTAGTTTATTATGAAATGGGCCTCTGGTAGAATTGACAACGTTGCAAGGAGTGTTGTCTACTGCCAGACGCCCCATTAGATAACATGGCAGATATGTGACACCAGCTCATCAATTCACTTATTATTCATTTAAATTTAAATTTATGAACATAAATTTAATAAAAACAAATAAAACATATAGAATTGAAAAACAAAACAATGTTTAAATTTAAAATCTATTTTTATACATTTAAAGTGGAGTAAAAATTGTTATAGCCCAGTAACCAAGCTTTCGTATTCTTAAAAACGTACGCATTACCATTAGCAGCCTCCAAAAAAAACAGCTTTTACAACCCTGCTATACTTTGCGACTTGCGATGTTGCCACTTCGAAGGCCGCGGCCTGGAGTTAAAGGTGGCCGTGGTAGTGACAGAAATATCAACAACATAATACTAAAAACGTGGAGTTAATGGTGGCCGTGACATATTGCATGGTTACTGTAATACTGTATTTTATTTATTTCATCAAGGTGGAAGGTGAATAGGGTGACTAACTGGCTATGATTAATATTCTAAAAATGTATTTTTTTTAATAATAATTATGTTTTCAAAGCCATGTTCAATCACTTACAGAGATCCAGACAGCAAGTGGTTGTTGTTGTTCAACACCACCTCTTGATCTTCATCTGGTTCAGAAGAACTTTTCATCTTTCTCTTCAAAGAGGGCCTTGAAATCTTCCATGAATAACCCCTTTGAAATCTTGGAGCTCTAAAAAATAAAAATAAATATTATCCTGATTTTGTATAATGTGTATAATTTGTGTTTTTGTAGTACACGTGGAATAAACAACGATCAAAATCTCTTTCTATAATGGTTCCAAGTGTGTTATCATTTTCATAAAAAAACATAAATTTTAACATATTACTTAAAAAACATGCTAAAAATAATATTTTGTATCTAGATTTTGCTGGTAATTTATAATTATTTGCTTGTCGTGAAGTAAATGCCTGCATGAATCTGTTGTATCTTATAACTTATTGATAAGTTAAACAAAAATAATAGCATAGACTAAAGTTTTATCTATGACTAGCAGTGTGCCCGTTCTACGCACGGGGATCTTATCATAGTCAGTTAAAACCTTCTTATATAAAGCACAGCAGTTGGTTTGCATACTTTCAGATATGCTGACAAAACTATTCCTTCGCAAATACAGTATCTGACAGTTTCAAGCCAAAACTAATGCTTCGCGATTAAATGTCACCCGGATCTTGTTGGTCCATATGTTATATCCAATGATTAAACTAAATAAACGGTATCAGCATTCTGACACATACTTTCTCCCATAAGTTTGTCAACAACCTTTATCAAGCGGTGAGAGTAAATATACGGAAATGGAATTTGTACAATTTTGTTCAGAATTAAAAGGACTATAACATAATGGTTAAAAGTATTTAAGGTACTACCTCAACCTCTTAATTTAACACTTTATTCGGGTTGACATTTTCATTATCAAGGCGCTCTTGTCCTTTCCGTGAAACATTGAGAAACAAGGACATTAATGCGTTACCATCATACATACACACAAAAATACCGAACTTAATTAGGGAATCTGCTACGCTTTAAGCATAAAAAGGTACATATAAAATTAGTACTTGAAATCTTTGTTAATGCCATAAAATTTGATCATAACAATTTATATTTGCTTGGACCGGAGATGACTCGAAATTCTGTCGAAATGCTATCTGAATCGGTTTGCTATATGAAATGAAGTACAGTAGGCCTACTATAGACGATTTAGATTGGTAATTTGTAATAAAAATTACCGAAATAGGCCACGAACTATTGATACATAAACAACGTTCAAAGTGTTTGAACAATTCATGATGGTTTGCTGAATAAATGTTTTACTAAAATGCGTTATAGTTTTCTTAGCATAACATTTTGGAATCCATACAGAAAAAGCAAAAATTATACAGTTAAGACATCAATTAAATTGAATAGGCCTACGCCTGTAATAAATAAGGTGCAACACCAACGATAACTAATTTGTAAATTACTGTGATGTGTTGGTACGTAAAAATGATTCTTGCTGCTACTAAAGGTTAAAAGGAAAAGAACCAGTACCGTACCAAAAACCAACGTTTACAGTTAAGAACTGTAGTACAGCCGACCAATTATATGCGTTAATCAAGGTTATTGATCTCTTGGTTTTGGATTTTCTCGTAAAAAGTTATCGGCAATCAAAGTTATTTCCCATTAATTGCTTTATTTGTACACAACTCTTAATGTAAACTTATCGGTGTCAGTTTGAAAAAAACCTTATACAACATAACTTTCTGTTATTTAATAGATTACGTATTCTCTAAACAATGGTTGCTGGTATATATATTAACATTATAAGGAAATGTGACAAAAATCACACAACGTTGGGTTTTTGGACGTTTATAATTTTATTTCTTAAGTACCTAGGTAGGCCGTGTATTCTATGGAAAAGTACCGGTATCAAGGATCGTTGTCGAAAGGGTTGTTATAAATAATTGGGTAAGCATACGTACCACACGTACCCAAGAGAAGGGCTATGGGCCTATTGGCTGTATGGTCCAGCGATTGCATCGGTGAGTAGGAACTATTGACTTTATATAGTCAATGGTAGGAACAGAAAGTGACACATTGGAAAATCGAGTTCAGCATCATCCGTAAACCTCTGTTACAATCACCCACTGCAGTTGTAATTTTTTGCTTTACACTTTACACAACCGCCATTGAAGAGCCGTCAATGAGTGGAACATGGTTTCTAAGCTATTGGCGACGGTCATTAGTAAATTTAAGTTTCCCAGCCGTATACAACACTGATTCAATCTTGATTCAATGTCTTCTTTCTGGTTATCAAAACTCCAATACAATTTTATACACATATTTCTGGTTCCTGACCTGGATGATGCCTAGTTATTTAATTTACGGTTACACTATATTATTCCACTTGCGATTAATTAAATCCTTTATGTAATAAAAACGTTTTTAATCTCACTTGGATGGGATTTGCCTTCAAAACGTGATCGGAAATGGTTGTGGTGTTTGTAAACAACATTTGTAAACATTTCAGTGACAGCTAGAAAAATAATCTTGATCCGAACAGCTGTTCGTTGTTTCATAGATGATTATGTGATACAAATTAGAAGAAAACTTGACAAAAATCGCACAAAACTGCATTTTTGAACGGCCGTAATTTTAATTACAAAGTAGTGAGACCATATTTTAATGGCTAAAGACACTCTCGCCAATCCAGTGAATACATTAAAATGACTTGGGTCTTGATAGGTACTCTCGTTTTCCTGGAGAAGATTGCGTAAAATGCCATCTTGAGTGTGTCAGACAGACAGACAGACAGACAGACAGACAGAAATTTAGATGAGACTTGTTTCGGCTTCTTTAATGTATAAAACGTAAAAATAACCTAAAAATGTATGATTCTGAGCAATGTACAGACAAAACTCTAATTTTATTTATATAGATAATAGTTAAAATTTCCTAAGCTACACAGTTTCTGACATACTATAGGCCACATAGGCTAATTTATAAATTGTGGTATAAGCAGTGTTATCAACAAACATTACTTACTTCAATGGAACTGAACAACTGAACATGAAAAATAGTCATATGATGAACAATGACATTGGATGATCTTTGAATACAACACGTTATTGTTTCCAGGTAGGATAAGTAAGTGCAATATCAAGTATACACTTGGTAAAAAACTGCTACCGGTATTAAATTCAGAGAAGCCTTAATAGGAAATCTGATAATTATTTACCGTGTATGTAGATTGATTGGATGAAGGAAAAGTGATGGCTATGATGTGACTAAAAAGCGGCTAAAGTTATATACACTTGGATTCTACTATAAACCCCTTACTGATACAGCAAGTCAAACCTTGGGTTAATCGGCGGTGCGGAGAGGTGGACTTCTACCTCACCCAATTTCTGACGGGTCACGGCTTTTTCCGGCCGTACCTGTTCAGGATGGGCAAAGCCGTGTCACCCGATTGCATGTACTGCCCAGGCATTCCCGATGACGTGAAATACACCTTTTCCCACTGCCAGCGTTGGGAAAGGCCCCGCCTGGTGGCTCAACAGTCAGTAGGACTGCTGTCGGTGGACACGGTCATACCGATGATGACGGAGGGTGAGGACAATTGGACCTGTGTGTCACATTACATCCAGGGTATTCTCCGTGCCAAGAAGCTCGACCTTGACCGGGATGCGGCGTAGGTAATAAAGTATCTAAATGCAAGAAATGGTGAGAGCCCTGAGGTCACATGTTGGCCTGACTTGAAGTAATGTGACAAAAAATTCCAGGTCTGTGTCCAACAGTTTAGAGGGGTTTTTTTAGTGAGTAGTCTGTGATAAATTCAGGAGTCTCACACTACAGGCTGGCTACATGTGTGCGTAACAGCATTTTCACTCCTCTCCCAAAAAAAAAAATAAAATAAAAAAAAAATAAAAAACTATAAACCCCTTGGCCACAAAAAACTGTCTGCCAAAGAAAATACACACTTACAAGGGAAGCTGTTCCTTCTTCTGCATATTAGAGGCCGGCGAACTTCTGCGAACCTGCGGCCCCTGAGGATTCAAATTATTGATGGTCAAATTTGGAGGTTTCAACAATCCACTGCCCTGGGACGACTGCAAAATATCCAAACTTCGGTTAACACCAACAGCCTGATTAAAACTTATTTCAATTAAACATATACAACACGTAATCATAAGAATGCCTACTTGTATATAGGCATTGTTCGAAGTATATCTCAGAGGCATCCATATTCGAGTGATGATTGGAATACTTTAAGCATCTCTGGACGACCTTATTGCTGAGCTGTATTTGAGCACTGTGATGCATCCAACAAGCTAAGTAGTTGGAAATAATTACTCTTGTCAACAATTTTAGTCTCCATCTTTGGCAATAGTCAATAGTTAGTTGTTCAAAATTTCCTTATAGCCTCCCAAAGCATCTTTCATTAGGTATTACGACAACTTATAAAATGTTTAGTTACTGTTTTTGTTGAATATTTCTTTCCTGAAAGGGGCTTGAGCTGTTTATAATCTAACTGGCAAAAAAGATGAAAACTTCATAATTTAGGTCTAGCTTGATTCCAGATTTTTAATATGTTTGTCAAGTTGAAAACTCACAATAGAGCAGTCAATTGAGTCTATGGACAATGAGCTAGAATACAGTGCAATAGCTGATTGTAGCCTGTTGTTGAACTCCCTCTGAGAATGGCCTATAGTCGTGTTTGGAGAGTCTTGAGGAGTTGCTGCTGTATGTGTGATGATGGGCATTGCACTAGCAACTCCACTAGAAGCTCCCAGCATCTGACTCTCTGGAAACACACAGAACTTGATACAATATTTGATTAAACATAACTAAATTTCTTACAGATTTATGATCCTTATACTTGCTGTTGTACCCGTGCTTTGCAACGGGAAGAGGACACTAAATATAAACAATTTAATTTTTACAATTGTTGCATATAATAATTACACATCCGCCAAAGCTTTTAGAAACAAAATTCAACTTTTTTGGCCTTAATAGAAACGTTTAAGTTATGAATTTTAAATCTAGTAAGTAGTGGATACCACAATTTTTGGTTTTGATTAATTTTAAATCTTGTGTAGGCTGATATGAGAAAACCTGACCAAATCTTCGAATAAAACTTTCACATACGATTTACCTTCATCTTCCTTAATTACATATCTTTTTATTTATAATTGACATTTTAAATTTCAATTTAGAAGATGCAAAAATACGAATTATTAAATTTAAATGGGGATTTTTTTAAATTTCACTCTTCTTTATATTAAATCACAAATCCTTCCATCTTCAGTTTCCTCAATCATTAGCAAAACTAAGTCAGTTGTTATAAACTTTAGAAATATTGTTGTGCCTTATCAATACAGTCTTTTGAAATATTAAAGAAACTATATCTATAATATACACAAATTTAAACAAATAATTTAGCATTAAAGACAACGGACAAAACTAATATGATTATCAAAGTGTCGAGGACTAAAAAATGTTAAAGCAAATACAGTATTTGTTTCATTGCATCTCTGATTTGATTCTACTCTACAAAAATATCAACAAACAACTTAATATAAAAACCAGTTCTCTTAATCAGTTCCATCATCATTGCCTTTAAATTTTCTTACTTACCATTAAGTAAACATAGTAACAGATATTTAATTGATTTTATAAACAAAAGAACACTCTGTACTACTTAGTTTTATGATATTTTCCTTAGTTTAATTTAATCAGTGGTGTGGCAAAACACAAATAATAAATTTATCAAATAAATTAAATGTGAACTGAAAGCTATGTTAAGATAAAATAAGAGTATTTTGTATTACCATTCGATAATTTAATATAGTTACACATATAAAACAGATTTTAGAACACAAAAATCAATGACGTACAATTTAGTTATTGATGATATTCTTTAGTTTAATTTAAGCATAGGTTTATAAAAACACAATAACTAAATTTACCTAAATATACAAATAAAAAACAATGTGATGTGCAAGTTATGTTAAGTTAATCTAACACATGTTAAGCAGTTCGAATTTAAAGTAGCCTCCAAATTCATACAAAACATCTATACATTGTAATTGTCATACTGTTTCCATGAAAACATATCAATAACATAATTTTCATAACTGAGACGCTTTAAAAAATCCAAAGCAGAGAGCTGGAGTTGATACAGCAACGGTTATAGAATCTTTTTTTTCTATAATCATTGACAGTTTTAGAATAAATAATCCATGATAAACGTTAGATAGATTAAAAAAAACTTATCTCATAGTTATGGAATATATTATATTTAACTTCTTTGTATCAGCTGTCTGAAATTGTGAAATATGCAATTTAGAATTTCTTCTTGTTTACATTGAAATGTCAAAGCAAATGTAAACAATAATTATTAGTGTTCTAATCGCAGCCATGGAGACCAATCAATATTTACTTTTAAAATCCTCACCTCAGAACTGTTAAAGCCAAAGGGGCAAAGCCTACGGCCAGTATTGAAATGTGAATAGTCCTATAATGGTCCTTGGTATGTTAGCTATATTTTTGTAAAATTTAAGCCCAGTTGGTTCAGTTTTTGCACCTATTAGTAACACACATACAGACAGACACCATTAGATTTTTATATAATAGTATATATATAGATATAGATAAACCAGATGATTCTGATTTAAGTTGTGGGAGTTTCTTTTGGACTTAGCAAAGATGTATAAAACAGTTTTTAAACTTTACCCTACAATAGAAGAGAGACCTTTAGTAATTGTCGGCATATTCAAAATTTTCACAATCATGAAATACAAATTGAAATATTTTTTAGATGTTGTCAATAAGGTGGAAAGCCTACTTGCAGATAGCTTCCTCTAATACAAGGCCGCAGTGAGACAAAGTGGCAACGTTGCAGACCCGGCCTGATAAACCGCTGTTATTCATAGCACTAATTCATAATGGAGCGTCTGCAGAATGTTTATGTTTACACCTTTGTTATTAACATATCAATAAAAACAGCCCGGTGCGACATTGCCAAACACCAACGACAGACTATAGCACTGTACAATACATTATAATAATATTGGCAATTGGGTTATTTTACCTCTCCAACATTACATTGTAACTTACCTTTTTGTATATTGCACTTTGCTTCACACTGCCCATTGTTCTGTTTCCGTTTCTGTTTCCAGCAGTTCTCCTTTTCCCTGTGCCCATTGTCCTTTGACTTTCTAGTATGTTCCGTATCCCACTCGTTTTTGTATTCCTAAAGAAACAAACTTTTAAATAACGAAACTAAAATATCGAAACCACATCATCAATAAGAGTAACATTTTAATACATGTAACATGTTAATCAGCACTTGGAGCTTAGTAATACAAATTTGATTTCGAACCCCATAGCAGTCTTGTGAAGGTGTAAAGTCATTAGTCTATAGCATGAGAACTAGTAGCATCCATAAAACCTACCATTGCGGTATAGCATTATTGTGAATAATGGCAATTTCGTATTATAGTGTAAGATTAATCAATAATGTATTATGAAAACCCATTGGTAGTTTTATTTCACAGGCTATGGATGGGTTGACAGTAGAATTTCCGAGAATATAGCAAAAGATTATACAAGATACAGTACATTTAAATCAATGTAAAGCAGAAAGGGTAACCCACGTCAAATTAAAATTTCAAGTATTAGTTATTTTAATAAGGAATACAGACAGTCTTCAAATTCCTCTAGTTAACTGCACACACAACTAAACTAACTTGTACTATACAAGCTACACTACAATCATGGAAGCAAAACTGGTAACTGAACATGTGACCTAAATTGAAAATAAAAGAATAAAACTATACAAAAGATATGGATAGAATTAATATCACCACATGTACTATGACCCGGGAAGTGTGATGTGTCACAGATTATACATTATGACACATATAGTGTATCATGAAATACATAGTGTAATCTGTGTATATTGGAAACTATCGCTCTCTAAGACGGAGCTGTAGCTGTACATCTCGTTGCTGTAGTGCTAAGCACTAAGTGCTTAGAACATTCTAAGTAGAATCAGTAAGAATGATACCATACAAAGGAGATGTAAAACATGGATGTAATCTTAAAGTGTACTGTGACTGTGACACTGATAGTATAATCTATGACTGACCTGTTGGAAACTGTCGCTCTCCGATGCAGAACAGGAGCTGTATATGTCGTCACTGTAGCACTCGGAGTACTTCCTGGCTGCAGCGGCGGCTTGAGCCTTAGCAAGCTCCCGTTGTTCACGTTCTCTCCTCTCGTTACGCTTGTAACAAGCGGCTTACGTTAGTACGTGTCAAGTTTGACGATGGATTACGTATGAACATAGACCATACATTTGCTAGACAACCAGCAGTACTGGACAATAATACATGGACAGAACTCTGTTAGATATCGTGATGAAGCTCAAATAGTGTTACCACCCTATGTGGCTGGATTGCAGCTCTATCAATGACATCTTTTGAGACGACTCTCACTCTTTAGAGAAAAATATTAACAATGTTATAGATTTATCAGATTTACACAACTTAATACAGTTATTGTGTCTATATTTACGAAGGAGAAACATAAAAAAAATTATCCTCGCCATGAATGCAAGGGGCCACATTCACTTTTCATCAGTACTGGCGTTCTCCTCGTCGATTACTGCTTATCTGTTCCCCCTACTTCATACGGCCTTGCATGAATAGTGTATACAACCAACGTTTTTAGGCATGTATTTTTATCAGAACTAACCTCATTCATTGTCTAACTAATAATGTGTTTTTATTACATTATACTTGTAGTGAGATGTTTTAATTTCTTAATTTTCACCTTAACTGTTCACCTAGTGTACATATTTATGTACAGTGGTTTGATTGAATGTTTTGTCCAAAGAGTATATAGCTGAGAATAAATATTACGAATTTTACCTCCGATGAGAATCCTTCCACCAAGATGGCGACCAGGAGGTTGAATAAGACGTAGTTCCCAAACGTCATCAACGCCACAAAATACAACGCTGCCCAGTGACTTGTTTTTTCCATACCGTTGAAGAGGACAACATTCCAATCCTCTTGGGTGAGAATCTATCATAAAAAATACATATAATCGGACCTGAATCTCAGCACTATTCACTTTGTACTGTATTGAATGTAAAATTTATTCGACAATGTCGTGAAGTTAATTTAGTTTTCCAAAATGTAATTTATTATAATCACCTTTAAATTTTACTACGTTAATGATCTCTATGTAATTGGGCTACCGGTGTTCAAAGTGAATCTATCATAAAATTATTGCCTTTTAGATCCCATAAATCAGCACTATGAATGTTAGGCAACATTCCAATCAGTAATTTACAATATGAGTTGTATGTGTTATACTGTTTTAGTACATCCATGATCCAGGATTACAATTCTGCTTATACTCTTCCAAAAATATGTACCGTACCTACTTATACTTTTGACTGTAATAATAAATAATTACTTGTGGATTGGAGCTATAATTACTTCATGCGTACAATTGTTTAATCTTACACCTAATGAAATCCAGCATACAAATGACACTGCAGCCTGAAGAAACCCGCCCATTACAACCAAGATATATACATCTTGGAAAAGGCATGTATTTAAATGAACCTTTCTCTTAACAATAACCCTTTTCCGTAATGATTAGTTATCAAAATTACGTACTTAAATCTGACTATTACAGAAAATTGACTTTGAACATGAACATATAAAGACTTATGTACTGCATAATTTGCAAGAAACACATTTTCAAATATATACATAATTTACACTATACCCACATAAGTAAGAGCAATCGTGTCATTCATTCAAAACTACAACTAGTTAAATTTAAATATAAAAACTTTAATAAGCCATGCACTAATTTTAAGGACCTAATTTCATGCATAGTACTTATCTGATAAACATACCTTCCAGAATGCTTTCACAATATTACATAAAACCGTGTATGTACACAATAATTACATTATGGAAGTGTTCAATGTTTTTCTTTATGAGTGCTGTCATGTAACATTTTACAAATGACAAAATAGTGTACAATAAGCTAACTTAATAGATGTGAAGGTAAATCTATCAGTATCCTCAATTGATTTTTTAGAAAAAAATTAAAGATAAAGGAATATTAGATAATTTGTTAGATTGTGTTTAAAAATATTACGATAATGTATAACTTATTTACAAAATTGAATGAAACAGCCTTTCACATCAAATACAGTATATTTATAAGTGCATGTATTTATCTTATGCATGTGGTAAACTTACCAAAAGTTTGGCCATATTTTGATGGATCAATCAATATATATTCATTTATTATTATCGTGTGTACGGACAACTATCGGAACATTGCAAGTGAAAATAACATACGTTAAAGTATTCAATGTACACTTAATACGGATTTAGCAAGAAATGTAGAAATGGTTATAACTGCTGACATATACAGGGTGATTGATGTAAGTGTGCCAGCCGTTTTATTCGAAAACCATAAGAGATACAAAAAAAGTTAAATGGTAAGTGCCTTGAATTTTTTATTAAAAAAATTGTAGTCAAGTCGAAAAAATTATTTTAGCCACAATTTTTCCAATATGGCCACTAACTTTGATTTTTCTTATGGAACACCCTGTAATTTATGATGTATTCCGGGAGAAAATGTAATTTTAAGACGATTTTATTCTTGTGATTTTTTTTCCATAAACCTAACCGTTTCAAAGATAATAATGGCTAAAGTTTTGAAATTTCGGCATGAGAAAGAGTTTTTAAATAAAGGCCTAAGCAAGCATGCCAGCTGTTTTATTCGAAAAATATTCGAAATTTCACAACTTAAACCATTATTTATCTTTGAAACGGTTAGGTTTATGAAAAAAATTACAAGAATAAAATCGTCTTAAAATTACATTTTCTACCATAACACATCATAAAATACGTTCCATAAGAAAAATCAAAGTTGGTGGCCATTTTGGAAAATGGCGGCTAAAATATTTTTTTAGACTTGACTGCAATTTTTTAAATAAAAAATCCAAGGCACTTACCATTTAACTTTTTTTGATATCTCTTATGGTTTTCGAATAAAACGGCTGGCACACTTATATCAATCACCATGTATAATATAGTTTTAGGATGAAATAAATTTGTTGATTATAATTAAAGTAGTATATTTCTAAGTACTAGTACATATTCTTTCTTTTGTTTCGGTATCTATTAGCAAAAATATTTAAATAATAATCTAAATATATATATATAATGAAGTTAGCAATAATGAACTTCACAAAGTTAATTGATATTTAGTACGCTCAGTATAAACAATAAACAACGAATCCATAAAATTCACAAAATATGTTCATGCATCAAATCTTATTACATTGATAGGCACTGTACATTTTTAAGACCGAAAATATGCATGTAATAATCAAATTTTCTGATGCTATGCACTTCACACAATTATCAACATGTGATGTCACAAGTCACGTGACTTATCATCCGTTGGACCAAACTCCGGGCAAGTCTACTGTGAGGAGTAAGATGTAGAGAGAAAGTGTAGAGTGGGAAGTGTCGACTTACCTGAAACACTGTCACGGTGGCCCAAAGGACATTGTTAAAATGCTTTCTGTCACAGACACATTTTGGATCTTTGTTGACGATTTCCTCACAGCTGCATTCTCTCGATCCGTCGCTGAGCATGCAAAACTTACCGCCAAACAGATACATCCCTAAAATACTGGAACAGAACCCAAAAAAATATTGCTAGCCGGGGGCCTCTTTGTTCTTATTACACTTTTTGAGTCGTCTGTTTATTAGATTTTAACTGTCGTTTTTTTAAGCCATTGTTTATTCATGTGTTTTGTTGCGTGGTATTTATTTATATTACCCTAAGTATTAGTGGTATTAGTTTATCTTTAAAAATATATGTCATATATTGTTATGAAGAAAGACAAACCCTTTTAGAGGTGGCTTACGGAATATAAATTTGTCTTTTAAATTGAAATACTGTTATGAGTTTTTTGTCCTCCATTAAAGTTATATGCCATTTAAAAGACTTTAAATTGAAAATAAAAATACGGAAAAATAACATCAAAAGTATGCATACAAATTAAAGTGTTTTATATGTGGATCGTATTCAAATTATAGTTTCAAAATAATTAATCATAAAATAATCAATAGTCTCATAAATGTTTTTGTCAAATGTAATAAAATTGAAGGATACATTGGGGTTGTACAATCAAATATTTTATAAGACAATATTTGAAACTGATCTTTTAAAATATGGTTTAGCTCGATTGGTTTGAAATTATAGGAAAACATGTTTTTTATAGAATTATTATGTTATTGTGTCCGTATACCCTAATTAACAATTTAACATCAATTATATTTTATTATTAGTAAATTAAAATAGTTTCTTGACAATCACGAATGGAAAATTAAATAAAACAAAAATACGGCTTGCCCTTTATTAATTTTAAGCTACTGAAACAGTTTAATGTTTTAAATACAACCGTTTGTTAACAGGTCTGAAGTAAATTTTATTTTAAGAAGCAATATGGGTTCCGTATTTTTTCCCTTATTTGGGTTCATCAACTTGCATGCAACGGTGTGATCCCCCATACGATAAATGTGTTCATTTGAATAACATGTAATATACATATTTGTTTTTTTTTTTACAAAAATAAAAGGGTTTTTTAAAATATTTTGCAGATACGTTTTAGAATAAAAAAAATCATGAATTGTTTGTTTGTTAAAATATGTTGTCGTTTATAAAGTACAATTTTTAACATTCAACTTATATGATTTTTAAACATATGTTTTAGTTTAACAATTTTTGTGAATATTCTGGGGTTTATTTATTAGTCAACAGCGGACTTTAAAATTGTGCTTTAACAAAAATATGATACACTGTACAATGCCTTTACATGTTTTACAGCAATAAACAAGTACCAACACATAGAGTAGACCAGTGCAAAATATAGGACCAGTAGAGAAAAGCCAAAGCGTGAAGAGGCAAAGCTAAAAAGCAAAGCCGATCAGCATTTCAAGCACCAGTTAAACAATACAGACAGTATTATTTATGATAAAACCTTAAGAGGAATAATAGTTAAATATTTCCTCTTTTTGGTTCATCAGATTTGGTACTGTCTGTAACAATTTTTAAACTTTTCATATTGATTTCAACTTAAATCAATTATCTTTAGACTTTGTAAACACTTTTTAATAATTACAAAAAATAGAATAAAGCTATTTGAAATCCAAACGTGATCCTTAATGTTACAGTAAATAAAATTTAGTTTTTTTCACTCAAAATAGTTCTAAATGCCACGGTAAGTATTCATTTAAGAAAAAAATCTTTTTAGTACGTATAAGCACTTAGTGGCTGTTAAAATGTAACTAAACAGTTTCATAAAATTGCTTTATGGTAATCCTACTATTTTTAGACACTAACGATAGATTGTGAAAGTAATCAATGATAACATATCTGGAAAGAAAATTAGAGTTATTAGATAGTGTAAACCTATATTAAACTAGGTTACTGAATCAAGGTAGTGTAATAAAAAAATTATGTGTTAGTATACCTCCTTGAAAGGTATTGAAGCCAAATAATATACAGTAGCAGATCCTTTAAATCCTTCAACTTCAACTCCTCTATGTGTAAAATCCGTAAAGTATTGAAATATATTTTTTTACACACAGCGTTTTGTTGTCTATTTATAATCCCTTTTTAAAGGATTTGAAGTAAAATATCTACTATATAATTGATCAGTGGCAATATATTTGAGCATTACTTTTCAAGAATAAAGCACATTATTTTTATTTTTTATATATTAAAATGTTATATACCATTCCGCAGGTAAATGTTGGAAACAAATAAAAAATGTTGGCTAGGTAAATAATTGTCCGTTACCATTCCTTTACCCATTGAAATTTAGATAGCACTGTAATGCAAGATGCCATTTAACCTTCTATTTAGGTAAAATTTTCAATCGATCAACACTAATTTTGGTCAACGTACGCAATGTATATTACTACTAAAACACATAAAAATAGACTTACCTTGAAAATATTGAAGTTATATTACAGATTTATGTCATACATAACTTGAAACTACACAGTTTCATTCCAGAGACAGTATCTTAACATTTTACGTTTCAACATAATTGACATAGTCTTCTTTCCAGATATGTTCCACAGACATTGTTCTAATCTAAATCTTAGCCTACACTACAAGCTGTAGCCAAAGGTTTCAAGCGATGAAAAGGAAGGAAGGAAAGGTAAAAAGGTTTCTCGTTTCTTTGAGAGTTTTTTTGTTTTAATTTAGGTTTGTTATAAGTTTTAACATCGGCTAAGATTGCAAGTATGGATTATGGTTAGTTTAGAAATTTGAAAGAGGAAACTAAATTAGTTTAAGCTCTAAAATCTACTTCCTATCAAAGCACTAACTACGCAATTTAAAAAGTTAAAATTAGGTAAAAAGTGACAGTGATGACGATAACGTGTTATGCATGCAGTGAGGTTAGTCAAACTTATTATCTAATCGTCATTAGGGTTGTTAAAATATTTTAAAGTGTTTCAATTCGAAATAGTTTAGCAACAAAATTGATTTAGTGATATAATCAAAACTACCACTAAACTATCTTAAAAAAATGAACAACAATATTTAGCTACGCTTACAAGTATAATTAATTTTGATTCCTATATATTTTTTCATTTTACAAATAGATTTATAATATTACCATATTACTATTTATAAAATTACTCATCCACCATACGTACAAAGTATGAACTAAGAAGAACTAGCACATGGGACTTTGATTTGATAAAAGGTAGGTATAACGAAATCAGATTGATGTGTTTTCTAAGTTAACTCAGGCTGAGAAAATACAGATTGCAAATAAAATGTATCACACAATTTTTAGCTAGTTTTTATTAATCTGTATCTAATCTTTATCTTTTTTCATGTTTATTGTTTTAATCTCAATAAAAACGATTTACAAGGTATACTATTTTACTCACGAAACTGATTAGGATAAACATTATTAGAATGCAAGAAACAAAAAAAACCTTTTAAGAGGTGTTAAATATAAAATATAATGAAAATGAAAACATGGAAATAAATTTCAACAACGATAATGTATAAGAATAGACATGCTAAAACTTTTTCATGTATAAAAAAATGTATTTAATTTTTACTATTGCAAGACTAAAGGTAAAAATATAAAAATATTATATTGTATTAATAATGCATAAAAATAGGTATATTTTGTTACCTGTGCTCTTTAAATAGTTACACATGCACATGCAAAATCAGCCAAATAGTATTATTTCAAAATGCAAAATATACAAAATTGCCATGATTGTTTGATTGATTTAAAAAAGCAGCATTAAAGAACCAGTCAAAGCAAAATCAAGCGTAAGCGAGCATGCAATGTTCAGTGTAAGCTCGACATAATATTGTAATAGCGTTCTGGGCGATTGCATAGTTTTGCGCTAATGCATAATGTGAGAGTTTATAATGTTTTATAGACAAAAGCATGTAAACTTGTTTAAGGTCAATAAACAAGCCACTTTAACATGCATGATTTAGGTTGGTAGGTTCATGGGGGTTTTAATACACGTTAATGTGCAGGGCCCCTAAATGTATAGTAATTTTAATTTTTAAGAAATATGATAAAAAAATAAATACATGGTGATTGTTATAAGTGTGCCAGCTGTTTTATTAGAAAGTTATAAAAGATATAATAAACACATAGTCCACTGTCAAATGTACACCCGTGTGCTCCTTGATGAGGCAGGTGTGGGAGTAGTCTTAATCTCTTCGTTTGACCTTTGAGAAATACAATTTCGATGGTGGCACTCTTGAAAATTGTGCGTTTGAACGCTGTGGGTAAAAAACAAAATGGCTGCAATTTAAAATGTTTAAAGTCAAATTCCATGAAAACCAGAGATTAAAACAAAATTTCGCACCTTATTATCGAAAGTCCTTTTTATTACAAATCGAATGACACTTTATTTGCGAAAATCGGATGATAAATAAAAAAGTTATGTTACTTTAATTATTAATAGTAATTATCAAAATGACAGTCATTTTGAAATGACAAAGTTAAATTCCATAGAAACTAGTGACAAAAAAAAATAATAAAAGTTACATAACTTTTTTATTTATTCTCCGATTTTCGCAAATAAAGTGACGTTCGATTTGTAATAAAAAGGACTTTACATATTGTGCTTCAAAGTTTTGTTTTAATTGCTGGTTTTCATGAAATTCGACTTTAAAATAATTTAATGGCCGCCATTTTGAAATTCGATGAGCCTGATCAAAGATTTTTTCGGAGAATGTTTATAGTTGTAGACTTAAAGTTTATACCAAGTTTCATAAAAATATCTCCAAGAGCTTTGGAGTTATGAATTATTTGCAAAAAATACAAAATGGCGGATTACGGCTAAACTAAGTCAAAATCGAAAAAATGTTATACAACATTTTCGACTTATTTTTGCATATAGAATTTGAATCTGCATAGCCCGTTACGCTTTACTGAAACACCCTTTATTACTTTTTGAAATATTTAACTGTCCTGGGGCATTATTATTTACCCTGATTAATTGTATTTATGAAAAATATAAAATTATGTTTTATGAAAGAATGGTTGATCCTACATAAAAACTTTAAGCATCTTTTTTGTGCAGATTTGAAATAGCTACATTTTGGTATCAACAATTCTTTCATAACCC